TTTTGTTTGGGGGCGACACCCAACAGTGCTTAGGTCGCTCGCGGCGCAGTGCGGAGAAGGACCGGAGTATCCAGCGGTGCTTTGGGATCATGATGGGGAAGAGGAGAACAAAACTCCACTTAAAAGAGTTGGAAGCCCTAAAATATAAACAAAGGCAATGTGACTCCATAATCTTTGCTTGTGTCTATTATGAATAGACACAATCCCAGGCTTTGTGCTCGGGGTTTACTCCTGGCGGGATCCGGGGGACCAGTGTCAGCTGTTAGTGTATGTAAGGCGAGCACCCTACCAGTTACACTATCTCTCCAGTCCCTGGATTAGCTACCTATTGAGTGACCGTTAGCCACATGTAGCAGGTGGATATGGCTTTGGGCAGTGCAGAGTTATAGAGAATTTCTACAATCATAGGAAGTTCTGTTGGACACTGATCATCTAGATTTATAAAAAGATCTTTCAGTTTAGTAAGATGTCCTGCCAAGTGATGTGCTGGAACCATCTCAACTGACTAGTGAGAGTCAATTGTTAAATGCAAAGGAATCTTGAAGATTGACCTAAATAGAACTAAGGGGAGGTGACTATGCTCAGGAGTGACCTGGCCAGTGCTGAAAGAAGTTCAGGGTTTGAACAAGGGTCACAGGGATGCAAGGCATTCTTAACCTCCTGTACTGTCTCTGAAGCTCTAAATACTGCTATTTTAAAAATAACAATAAAATTAATGTGGTTTGTAATAAAATAGAATGGAAACAAAAACCTATTCATTTCCTGATTGCTACACTTTACTATTGTTCATACTTTTTATGGTTGCACGTACTCACTGTGTGGTAGAAGTATATGATGGGGTGCTATTGTTCAGATCTTCCCAAGTAACAATAGTTTTGGGCCATGTTGGGTATATTTATAGACTCAGCAAATGGTTCAAACCATAGCTTGATTTGTTTTATTATATTTTGAATTTGGGGCCACGCCCACTGATGCTCCAGGGTTACTCCTGACTGCACCCAGGAATCACTCTTACGGGACCTGGGGATCAAACCCACATCAGCCACATGCAAGGCAAGTGCCCTACCTGCTATACTATCTCTCTAGCCCCAAGAGCTTGATTTATTGCCTTGTTGCTCGACTAAAAGATGCAGAAAATAAGATAGAAATTAAACTTAATTTCTGTCTGTGTATGAAATGGGTCTTGTCTGCACATTTTGTATTGTGAAAGGCAATACAAAAACTTCAACTGTCTCCCCACACCCCTACTCCCGTTCCCATCCCTTTTATGCAATTGTGTGAATAAATTCAGGAACAGAACAAAGCAAAGAGCCTTGCCCTTGTATTGCTTAAATTTAAATCGGAAGAACTGGGTAGTAGATGGTGAATATCATAGACCAGTATATGGTGTTTCAGAAGAGGTGTATTGCAAAAAAAAAAGAGAGAAGGAAAGAAGCACAAGTGAACAGGGGAGTTAAAGGTGATGGCTAAATACTGTGATCAAAATTAGAAAGTCCGATGATCAAGTTAATGATTCTAATGAATATTAGATACCTTTGTAAGACAGGTTTCTGTTTTTCAAAATAAAAATGTTTAATGATTAATTTTAATGTTAATAGTAACTAGCAAACTAATGAAAATGTAAAAAAATTAGAAAGTCAGGGCTGGAGCAATAGTACAGCAGTAAAGTCCTACTTGAATTCAATCCCTGGTACCCCCCGACTCTTTAGGCCCACCAGAACTGACCCCTGAGGCAGAGGCAGGAGTAAGCCCTGAGCACTGCAGGGTGGCAGGAAGTGGTCCAAAATTTAAAAAAAAAGTTGCTGGGAAGAGGCTTCATAATTAGATTGGTGAACAGTTCATGCCTCTATGATACTGCCAACAGAAATACTACTGCCAGGGTGGGATCAAAGGACAGTGTGGAGGTGGGGGGTACATGGGCACTCTGCTGGTGGGAGTGGGGCTGAAGCATTGTGAACCAAAAGCATTAATATTAGTATTGCAAACCACGATGCCTCAGGTTTTTTTTAATTAGTGTTTGACTTGAATGATGAGCTGGGCACAGTCCGTAATACTTTTTTCTATTTTTCTCTTCATTTCTAGGACAAGTGGTCGGGAAGATGTCGTGATTCCTTATGCTTCTGACAGTGATTCGGAGAGTGTTGATTTGCAGCTGAGCAATTTAGATGACACTCTAAAAGAGTTCAGTATCTTGGAACTTGCAGGTGACAAAATGGGATTTTTTTCCAAAAGGGATGGGATGGGGGAAAGGAACTGTCTTCATGGATTAAGTTGCAGTTGCAGTGTGACCAGCCCTGAAGTAGTCTTTGATTTGATTTGATTTGATCTGATCTTTGCTTTACTCAGGGACTACTCCTAACTCATTGCTTCGGAGACCACCCAGTGGCAGAGATCAAACCTAGGACTCCTGCATTGCAAAGCATGTGCTCCACTTGTTTGAGCCATCTCCCAGCCCTAGTAACTAGACTCTTGGCAGTGGATATTTGTCCCTAACCTCAAAATAGGGATATTATTGGGGACAAGGGGGATGGTGGCGAGAACAAGAAGCTTCTACATTATTTTGGACATAAAAAAGAAACCCTAAATTTGGTCCTGAGAGATAATCCTATAGACCTGCACAGTCTGAGGGCTAAAAACATTTATAAGAAGAAAAAGGTATAATGGAAAATTGAGGAAGTAAGGATGAAAAACTATGAAAGAGGAAAATGAAGGACTGGGGTAATAGTACAGTGGGTAGGGCATCTGCCATGCATGCGGCCAGCCCAGATTCGATTCCAGGCATCCCTGTGGTCCCCTGTGCACTGCCACGAGTAATTCCTGAGTGCAGAGCTAGGAATAACCCCTGAGCAACGCTGGGTGAGACCCCCCTCCCCACAAAAAAAAGAGAAAAATGAGGTTGTTATAACCTTGTCATTCTATGAGCAAATCCTTGACATTGATTTCAATCCAATGAAGTCAGCCCAATGGTGTCATCCCAATTTTGAAAATAAATAGGCACAGAAAAAGAAGTTAGTTTGCTAGAAAGTAATAGATCAAGAAATCAAGGTAGGCAGATGGCCCCTAAAAAACTGTGTTCTTTGTGTGTGTATAGTGGGGTGTGGGGGATTCACCCAGCAGTTCTCAGGGTTATCCCCTGCTCAGTGCTTGCTTTGGTACTGCCAGAGAATCATGCGATGATTCCTTGGGACTTCCACATGTAAAGCAGGTGCACCAACCCTTTGAACTGATTCTGCAACATTGATCGTGTATACATTCTTTTTTAATTTTTGGAGCTTTTGTATTGGGGGGTTCTTGGGGAGGGAGTATTTGTTTGGGGCCTGTTGTGCGAATATTCATTCAGTTGGAGGTGCTGAGACAAGAAATGCAAGAGAAATTCTTTTTCACGGAGGATCTTGGGACTCGCTCAGATCCTGTAACAAAGGTAGAGCATCCTGACTCCTTTTATTGCCTCTTCTAAACAGAGAAGTTCAGGCATTCGGAGGAACATTGAGGCATTGAGTAACATTGAGGCATTAAGGCATATATTGTTTCATTATGTCAGCAAGCCATTTAGTTTCCTCTGGAAAGAAATGCACATCCAAGTGTTCTCGTGTGTAAGTTACAGCCTCAAGCACCTGGGGTCAAGCAGGGTCTGGGGTCAAGCTGGGTCTGTGAGAAGAGGAAGACCAACTCTTTCCTTATACTAAGATTTAGGCTATTTGCTGAAGGCAGCTTAAAGAAAAAGATGTTCAGCCCTGTCCAAACCAGTCTGGACACATGAGACATGGCTCACCCATTGTCATAGGCCCCTATGGCCCTGCCTGTGTGAGAGTCAGTCTCTATGAGTTCATTCTGACAGTACAGTCAGGCCCCAATAGGGGCCCACACCCAGAAATGCTTAAGACTTACTCCTGACTTTGTGTGTGTGGATCACTCATGCCAATACTTAGGAGGACCGTATGTGGTACCAGGAATCAAACCAGGGTTGGCTGTATGCAAGGCAAGCACCTTTCCCCCTGTACTCTCTCTTTGACGTCCAGAGATTGTATCCTTTTTTTGTTTCTTTGGGTTTGGGCCACACTCAGCCTCACTCAGGGCTTACTCCTGGCTCTGTGTTCAGGGATTATTCCTGGTGATCTCAAGGATCAAACCTGCATCGGCTGTTTAGGGCAAGGGTTCTACTGCTATATCCTCAGTCCAGCTCCCAGAGCTTTTGTTCTTAATGAGCATATGTCCCAAGACCAGAAGGAAGTATCCTCACAGTCTTTTCCAGTGGGAAGAGATGAATAGGAGCACAAGATCGCAGCTGTATTTTTGGATTTCATCACCACAGAGTCATACTCTGCGTTGGAATAGGAGTGGCTACTGTTTACTTACTATGGGCCATATCCTGGCCTAAGCCTTTTTAAGGAACCTACTTAGTGCTCCTTAATGCTGGAGCGATAGCACAGCGGTAGGGTGTTCGCCTTACAAGCGGCCAACATGGCTGACCCGAGTTCGATTCCTCCGCCCCTCTCGGAGAGCCCGGCAAGCTACCGTGAGTATCTCGCCCGCACGGCAGAGCCTGGCAAGCTCCCCGTGACGTATTCGATATGCCAGACACAGCAACAACAAAGTCTCCAATGGAGACGTTACTGGGCCCGCTCGAGCAAATCGACGATCAACGGGAGGGCCTTTACCTTTTACCTTTTACTTAATGCTCACAATAACCCTTTTTTAAAGATGAGAAAACTAATGTTCGAAAACAAACTAACTTGATAAGTTACAAGTTATCATTCCAACTAATAAGTCAGAAAGCCAGAACTCAAAACTAGTCTCAAACTGAGATGTGAAGCCCATGATCACAAATATTAGACGACAGATCAGAAGTGTTTGAGGCTTAGGAGGCCCTTGGAGAACACTTGAGTTTGTCTTTGAGAAAACTGAGTTTTTTGGTGGGGGGTGTGGGGGTAGAAGGGAACGGGGTTGGAAGTGATGCTCAGGGCTTCTCCTGGCCCCGAGTTCAGGGATCACCCTTGGCAATGCTTGTGAGAGACCAGAGATCACACCTGAGTCAGCTGTGTGCAAGGCAAACATCCTACTCGCTGTCCTTCCACATTGGCTCTGAAAACGAAGACTCTGAGAAGGGAAGAACAAGTAACAAAAGTGAGGCTAGGCCAGAGCAATAGTACAGCAGGGAAGGCATTTGCCTTGCACGCAACTGACCTGAATTCAGTCCCCGGCATCCCATATGGTCCCCTGAGTACCGCCAGGAGTAATCTCTGAGGGCAGAGCCAGGAGTAACCCCTGAGCATCACTGGGTGTGACCCCCCCCCAAAAAAAGTGAGGCTGTAGCGGTCTGTCTTGGAATCAAGGTTTCTCCCCACTACACCACATACCCACACGGTGTGGAGGTATCAGTCAGGATCTTTTCTTTCTGTTTTTAACTTGTCTGGATTTCCACTTACAGCTCAGGAGTCTTCCCCGGATAGTCCCAGACTACTGACTTCCCAGACCTACCTCAGTGAAGATGCCGTCGCGAAAATGATCCACTCCATCCAGGAGGCTTTCACAGGCCAGCTGAAGGTATGCACAAGCCCTTCCCCAGTTGTCTGACTTATTTCTCCATGCATAGCAAATGCTTGCAGCGTTAAAAAATAATAATTTGTTTTGTTGTTTGCGGGGAGCCCACAAAACCACTCTCCGGCCCACGGAGGTGGCCCTAGGATCCGTAGGTGCAGGGAAGGACCAACTGAATGAACACAAGACACAAGAGACAGAGTACAGTTTAGAAACAGAGAGGAAAAGGGACAGAACTTTATTGGGGGCTACAGGCTGTTTATATAGGGTCAGGGCAGCCCAGTCAGGAGCAGAAGCAATATAACCATACATGGTAAGGTCAGCAACAAGAGCTTTACCTAACATTTAAGGTAAACATTTGTACATCAAAGGGTCTTATGGCAATAGATGCATCCTGGAGGTTACTATAGATAAGGCCAGATAACTGTCAGCCTAATGTTATGTGTCTATAGATCAGGCATCTGCTGAGGTCAGGAAGCCCTGGGAGACTGTCACCAATGTCTGTCCCAAGCAGTTCCTAACATGGAAACCATGGCTAGGATCTGTGAGAGGGCTCTTGGCTTCCCACAGTTTGGTTTTGCTGAGCCAGAGCCCCACCATGGGAGGTGTATGGTGTATTGCTGAGCTGTATTCCCTGGCCCCAGCCTTTTGAGCCCTCTTCCTAATGCTTTCAAGGATTTTTCTATGTGGATCTACCTGGGCCCTAAAAATTATCCTTTATGGTAAATTCCTTGGTGTAGCATTGCAAAGCCAAAGGATATCTATTTTTTTATTTGGTTTGGTTTGGGAGGCCTCACCTGGGCTCAGGGCTTACTCTGACTCTGTGCTCAAGGATCACACCTAGTCATGCCCAGGGGTTTATCTGTGGTCCTGAGCATCAAATCAGATTCGGCATACAAGTCAAGTGCCTTACCCACTGCACTCTCTCTGGCCTGGACATGTACCTTTTTTTAAAAAAATTATTTTTGTAATTGAATCATTGTGAGAGACAGTTACAAAGCCTTCGTGATAGGGCTTCAGCTATACAGTGTTCCAACACCCATCCCTCCACTGGTGTACATTTCCCACCACTACTATCCCTGTATCCCTCCTACCACCACCCTCCCCCACCGCCTGCCTCTGTGGCAGGCACTTTCTCTTCTTCTCTTCTCTCTTTCTCTCTCTGTGTCTCTCTCTGTCTCTCTCCCTCCCTCCCCTCTGTCTCTCTCTCCTCTCTCTCTCTTCTCCACCCCCACCTCAGAGGTCATCATGTTTGGTTATTTACCCACTTTCAGTACATATCTCCCATCCTGAGTGATCCCTTCCAACCACCATTGTCATACTTGTCCCTCCTCTATCCCACCTGCCCTCTTCCCCAGACCTTGAGACAGGCTTCCAACCATGAGCTGCTCATCCAGGCCATTGTTTCTATTGTCCTTTACTGTTAGTCTCATACTATATGTTTTTTTTATATCCCACAGATGAGTGCAGTCATTCTATGTCTGTCCTCCTTCTGACTTATTTCATGTAGCATGATACTCTCCCTGTCCATCCATGTACAAGCAAATTTCACGACTTCATCTTTCTTAGCAGCTGCATAGTATTCCGTTTTGTAGTTGTACCATAGTTTCTTTAACCAGTCATCTGTTCTCAGGCACTCAGGTTGTTTCCAGATTCTGACTATTGTGAACAGTGCTGCAGACATTACCTTTTTTTTGCTTTTTTTGGGTCACACCCGGCGGTGCTCAGGGGTTACTCCTGGCTCTGCACTCAGGAATTACCCCTGTCTGTGCTCAGGGGACCATATGGGATGCTGGGAATCGAACCCGGGTCAGCCGTGTGCAAGGCAAACACCCTATCCACTCTGCTATTGCTCCAGCCCGACATTACCTTTTTAAAGCTTTTAAATCACCATCACTGTCCTCCCGTTGTTCATCGATTTGCTCGAGCGGGCCCAGTAACGTCTCCATTGGAGACTTTGTTGTTACTGTGTTTGGCATATCGAGTACATCACGGGTAGCTTGCCAGGCTCTGCCATGTGGGCGAGATACTCTCTGTAGCTTGCCAGGCTCTCCGAGATGGGCGGAGGAATCGAACTCGGGTCGGCCATGTTGGCTGCGTGCAAGGCAAACGCCCTACCGCTGTGCTATCGCTCCAGCCCAAAGTTTTTAAATAGGTATTATAAAATTATCTGCCAGAAATGTTAAAACTGTTTATACTCTCATCGGCAGAATATGTTGAGTGTCCAGTGGCTTACCAATATCTGAAATCAATATTAATGTTTTTGCTTTTAATCTTGTCTGATGGGCAAAAGGTATATAGCCCATCTGCTTTTTCTCTCTATCTTGACATTTTCCCTCCTGCCCTATACTTTCTTGTTTGACCTGGATTTTCATAAGATGTGATTATTGCAATGAATTCTCCCTAATCATTGTCCTCAGTCATTTCTCCTTCTATTTCTCTTACTTTATAGCGTCACAGTCTATGGTGTGGGGGGTCCATTCCTCCTTCAGTATACGTAGCCTGGTGGTTAAGATCTAAGGTTTTGTGTTTGAGCCCAATGGTACTTGGAGATCACCAGGTGTGATCCCCAAAAATTGAAAAAAATTTTTAATCCCTCTACAATTAGGGGCTCCAGACATAGCTCGAAAGGCTGGAAGTCATACCTGGTATGCACAGGGTCCCAGGTTTGATCCCTGACACTGCATACCCTTCCTGGCAATATCATGGATAGCTCTGATGGCCCCTTGTAGATGCTGGTGAGACCCTCCCCCAATTTAAAAGCCCTCTTTAATAATCATATGACAAAATATGTTAGTTTATAAAACATATATAAGTATGTATTCTAATGTAGTCGTGTAACAGATGTACAGTATATATGTGGATACTATAGAACTTTGTATTTCCTCAAATTTAGAATGAAGAAGAGACACTGACTTTCCTGGTATCTTTGTCTACTCTCAGCCAAGCTCTATCATATGATGAAAGTGTAGAATTTTTCATCCACAAGCACATCCCAGACATTGTGGGTATCCTATATGTAAGTATTGTGACTTCATGGAACCATACAATTTCAGTGGGTATGCCAACAGGGTTTTTTTTTTTTTCTATTGGTGGTTTCACCTGTAGCAACAATTCTCTTAGCCTCTTATCTTATCAGTATGCTGAAGACCAGAGGACAGAGGGCTTGAGTTAGTTCAACAGATTGAACTATTCTAAAAAAAAAAAAAAAAAACCTCTCCTGTCACCTTAGTGAGTCATCCTAGAGCTCCTGAAAGCAGAGGATGCAATGGGAGCCGTTTCAAGAACCAAAAGACACAGTTTCTAGTTCCAGTTCAATTTAGCATAACCTGTGTGATCTGAGAGAAATCGATTACCTTCTCTGAACCTCCAGCTTCTTCTGGAACAGGGGAATAGTCATACCTGTCAGATTTTCATGACAGAATATCTCCTTTTGCGGAGAATGGTTAAGATGCTTCCTGGCCCACACATGCTTATGTGCTAGATGCCAGCACTGTATGACTGAAACCTAATCGTGAACAGCTTTGTAAGGATCTGTCTCACCGTGATTCCATTAAAAATAATTATTTAAAAAATTCTTCCTGGCCAGAGAGAGCATTTTAGAGGGCTGACTACGTGCTGCCTCAAATGCTGGCAGCCAAGGTTTGCTTACAGACATCACGCAATCCTCAGGCACCATTGGGGGCGACAGTCCTATCCCAGCACCAAGCCTGTGGATGAGGTTCACCAATCAAGTCTTTGGAAGAGCAAGTTGCAAACAGCTCTCAGGGTCTCAATGGCAGAGGTTTATCTGCCATCACACTTCAGACCTATTTGTATCACACTAACAATTCAGATCTGGGGGCCAGACAGAACAGTGACACTGTACTTTGAGTAAGACACTTGCCTTGCATACAGTCCATTCAGGTTCCCTCTCCAGCACCCCTTAGGGTCCCCTGAGCATGATTAGGAGTGATCCCTGAACGCAGAGCCAAGGCTAAACCCTGAGCACCACCAGGGCTGGCTCAAAAACCAAAAAACAAAAAATAGACCAAAAAAAGTATAAAAAAAAAAAAGAGAGCATCTGATTGGCACAGTTCTCCCTGTCTGCACCAAGTCAGGGACAGAGCCACATGGGGCTGATGCTATTTCTGACCATTTCTGCTCCCTGGGAAAAGGTGGTGGCTGTGATCTGGGTGGTGCTATACAAGTACTTCATAAACATAACATAGCTCTCTTTTTAACTTTCCAGAACTTAAGCAAATAATAAAACTTTCGTACCTAACCGATGTCTTAAGAAAGAGAGCCAAAGATGATTCTGCCAGAAGTGGTTCGGTTAGATCAAAGTACAGTAGGCTTGGCAGACTTGGTGGCTTAATTAATGGCGCTGTTTTCATCCCACCGAGGCTGTATGCCCGCAGGGATAGAGAATCAACCAAACTGCCGTTATTTGGGTGTGGGAGAGTAAATAAAGGAGAGGGAAAGACTTGTGTTTTTATGAGCTCGGGAAAAGGGCCTCATAGAGGACAAATGAAGACTGTGCATTTGTGTTTTTTGAATAAGAAAGATAAGCTACTCAATTTTCAGTGCCACCGTGCCAGATTGTTAGCAGTGATGCTAATGGCAATGCCCTGACTTAAATTGATTTGGTCAGATAAGTCCCTGGGAGGCTGAAGATGGGGCTTCTGCTTTGTCCCTATGCCTGTGCTCTACTTTCACAATAACAAGCAAGATCCTTAAAGAAATAACCTTTAGGAAGCCTTCAGGAAAGCTGCCTCCAGCAAGATGTGGGTCAGAGAAATGGTTGGAAAGTGAGAAGAGAAAAAACAAACAAACAAACACACAAAAAAACAGAAAAGAACAATGAAGAGCCCCTGGTAATATTCATCGTGCAATACTTCTCCTGAATTCCCAGGGAGATAGTTTTGGCTTCTGATAAGAGAAAGAGACGTACAAAAATAGAAATTTCTCCCCCAGAATCCTATGAGAGGAAGAACAGCTTGCTCTGAGAAAGTAATAGAACCAGAATAATGAAATAGTCCATCAACACCTTAGGTCAACTCACTGGATAAGGAACTGTAGTAAAAGGGGATTAGTGACTCTTGGCCCCAGTATTTAGAGAGGAGAAGGACAGGGAAGGAAAGAAATGAAGGGGTGGGGAAAGAGGATGGGAAGTAATGGGTGAACAGACATCAGGGATTCAGTTACATGGTGAGATGGGTGAGGGGTATAGCCATGGATCTAAAGCACAGACTCAACAACACTGAAAACATGAGATCTAAGCTGCGGCCACTGGACTCTTGTCATGTGCCTGTCAAGTTGACAGGCGAGGATGGCCTGGGAGTTGGGACAGGGCGGGATTGTGGGAACACTGGTATAGGGAAGTTGACACTGATGGTGGGATTGGTGAAATCTTACATGCCAAAAATTCAACTGTCAATAACTTTATAAGTCACAGTTCTTTAATTAAAAATTAAGAAACAGAACAACCCTTAGGTCTACTCAGAACTTTCTTTTTTTGCTCCTGTACATTCATTTCCATTTCTCCAAATGGACCTTCTGTTACCTTGACCAGAGGGCTCAAGGTTCCCAAATTTAAAATCCCCATTTGGGAGACCAGCCAGGCTGAGATGGAAGCTCTTTGTCTCAATTCCAAATGTCCAAGAGAATCTTACTGGCTCTGGGGAGATGCGCTATACTGGGTGGGACAGAATGGCTCAATGCAATTTGGCTACGAGGTATCTACTGCTCATTAGGGGCAGTTTCCAGAGACCTAAAGATAATCCAGTAAGACTCCCACTACCGCCATTGACATCTGCACCTTACGTCAACTCTCTGAGATAAAGAAACTCTGACATGGAGAACTTCAGCCGTGTGTTTAGGACCACACAGCGAGCAAGGGCCAGAGCCAGCTTTCAAACCAGGGTGCCTTCTTGCACACAGCCTGCCTTTTGCTTTCTCTCACACTGCTGATTTTCCAGCAGAACGGGGAAGCATGCCCTTGGCTCATTTAGAAGTTGAAAATTATTTCGTTTTTAGAATAGGTAACGAGAGCATAATAGGCATCATCACTGAGATGACTGGTTTTTCAGGAAGAGAAATTAAGATATCTAAACTGGGAGTAATCTCTGATAATAAAAATCAAGAATCGCAGACACTAACAGTTATTGAGGGCTGCTGGGTATTATGAATTAGTTCCTGAAGTGCTCAGGAAGTAAGTGGTACTAGCGTCGCATTTTACGAATGAGGGAAAGGAGAGAGGTTGAATAAGTCCAGTGGATACAGACGCCTTGTGAGAGGCAGAGTATTCTCTGCATTAGACCACAGCCTTGGGGGCTGACTCCAGAGAATTAACTCCTAGCCAGGCCCACTGTGCGGCTGTTGCCCTTGCTGCCCATTCATTCTCTGGTCATCTGACTTAATAACTTGATGCGTGCTCGACTCTAAAGTTCTTTCCCTCTCATTGCAGATCCTAGTGGAAGAGTATATTCCATGGAAATTATTCAGCCCTGTGCGCCAGGAGATCTTTTTCACCATCTCTGCTCTCAGGTGATATCCACATGGACCCCACCCCCCAATCACGCATGTGCGCACACACACACACACACACACACACACACACAACTTACAGCTCCTCATATAGGACTAGTTCCATAACTTGTAGAAACTATTTAGGTGAGGAGGGGAAGCCAAATTTTTAAAAGAATTGTTTGTGAAATAACCTTCATATCGTGTTTGATGACACCCATAAAAACTTCTTTAGAGGGGCTGGAACAATAGCACAGCATCTATTGCATCTGCGTCTGCCTTGCATGCGGCCAACCCTGGTTCGATTCCCAGCATCCCATATCGTTCCCTGAGCACCGCCAAGGATAATTCCTGAGTGCAGAGCCAGGAGTAACCCCTGTGCATGGCCAGGTGTGACTCAAAAAGAAAAAAAATAACTTCTTTAGAGGGGCCTAGAGAGATAGAGAGATAGTTCAGTGGGTAGGAGCATTTTCTTGGCATACAGCCAAACTGGGTTTGATCCCTGGCACCCAGCATGGTCCCCTGAGCACCAGAAGGTATAATTCCTCAGTGCAGAGGCAGATGTAACCCCTAAAAATCACCAGGTGTGACCCATAAACAAAACAAAAAACCAAAACTGGCCTTTTTAGAAAGACATTATTGATGTTTAGAGTTCACTTCTGTCACTCCCATCTCTGCTGCATGCGGTGGAGTCCTACCATCTAAGAAATCTCCAGGGCTGCCTGCTGTTACCTCTTGGGAGGTTTGGGCCAGATATTCACTGGTTCAAGGCCCCGAGAGAATCCTCCACTTGGAGACTGGTCCAACTCACCATGCGCCAAACTGGCAAATGCACAACAGGCCAGAGTGAGGAAAGTCAGGATTCCCTGCCTTGTTCCCTCCCTCTGCTTGTGACCTGGGGGACCTGGAAGGAGCAGGGGCAGGCTGGAAGCCGGCAGAAGGAGCGAGGCTCCAAACCTTGAACTCCGTCTCTGACCTTTTGAGATTTGACTGATGGCTTGACAAGTCATACCATTGTTTTCTTCCATCAGAATGCTGTCGCAGTCAGCCTGTCCTAACCTTGGTGTGGCTTCAATCCCTGCTCACCAGTATCTGCTCCAGCTGCCCCTACATTGCTGTTTTTCCAAACTGTCTTTCCTTAGTTACCAAGAGGTCTGTTTGCTCTTTGGCTCTGAAGATAAAGATGCCTTGCTCGGTCTTATCATCATAAGCGTAATCACTCTGCCCTCAGTAGAGGAAGTACCAAGTGGGCCTTACAACTCAGAGGTAACTTTACTAACCTTGCCAGCCAGGGGCCTGCTCATCTTGACCTTTTCAGAGATGTTTGATTTTGGGTGGAAGAACTAACTAAAAAAAAAAATTGGAGGGAAATCTGGTGAATAAAGTCAGTGGGCAGATTCAGGACTGTTGTGCCCTTCTTTTATCTTCCTTCCCTTCTCCCTTCTTTCTTATCATGATTTTGATTTTAAAATATGGTGGGAGTGTCCATTGATCTGTGTAGCAGATATTCAGGATCTCCCTAGGCTCAGCATCATGATAGGCAGCCAAGATGCAGCAGTCCACTTTCCTAGAGCAGAAATACAGATTGTTGATAAATATGACAGCTGGTCTGAATAGCTTGACAAAAACAAAATGAAGAAAGCAGAGGATGAAGGGTAGAACTCTTCTTAGATGTGGGTAGCCTTTCTGATGTAAGAGTGGAAAAGAAGGTATCTGAAGGAAAGCGTTCATGTTAAAAGAAGAGGAAGTTCAAAGCCTTGATTTTATTCTGTGGTTAAATTGGCTGGAAAATAATTGCCCAGGGGAACTTGGTTCCCTTTTGTTTCAGATCCAAGTCTCACATGTCAAACTTTGAAATATCATGATGGGGCCAAGGGTGTGGCTCAAGGACTGGAGTGTGTGTCTAGCATATGCCCTGAATTCCTGACGGGTGTGACCCTAGTGCCCCAAATACTGCTTGCCTGAGCACCATCAAGTCTGTTTGAGCACTGCCAGATGTGGCCCCTCTCATGAAAAAGAAAAAAAAATTCTCTTTCTGGAGAGCACCATGTTGAGGGAAATCAGCCAGAGGGAGATGGACAGACTCAGAATGATTTCTCTCAGGGGTTGGAGAGATAATACAGCAGTTAGGGTGTTTACCTTGCACGAGGCTGACCCAGGTTCAGTACCTGGCATATGGTCCCCCAAGCACCGCCAGGAGTGATTAATTCCTGAGTGCTGAGCCAGGAGTAACCCCTGAGCAGCATCGCTTTGTGTGACCCAAAAAGCAAAAAAAAAGAACTGTCTCATCTGTGAGATAGAAAGAAACCTCATAAGGAAATATCAAGTGTCCAATGAGGAGCAGGAGAACTGATCTTCAGTAGGAAACTTGGCACTGGGGCAGGATGAGGGGGATAAGTTAGGGAAGGGCACATTAGGACAATGGGGGAGGGGAATGGTGCCTGCCACACAGACAGGGTGGGGGGTTGGCAGGAGAGAAACTGGGGACATTGGTAGAGAGTTCTGGTCACTCGTGAAGGGATTCTTGGAACAATATACACCTAAAACCATCACAAATAGCTTCAGAACTTTGTAATTCACAGTAATTCAATTTAAAAAAAAGGGGCTGGAGCGATAGTACAGTGGGTAGGGCATTTGCCTTGCATGCAGTTGACCTGGTTTTAGTTTCCAGCATCCCATATCCCCTGAGCATCACCAGGAGTAAGTCCTGAGTGCAGAGCCAGGAGTAACCCCTGTGTATCTCGGGTGTAACCCAATAAAGCAAAAAAAATTATATATATATGTATATACCTTAATAATCCATAGGAAATTGCCAAAATTGTAGTTAGGATTGGTTGATTGTGTTTCTTTTGAAATGAAGACGTTGTGTTCCACACCACGAGATGAGTTGCCTGCCAGGATTTTACGCTGTTTCTGCTCCTCTGAACCTTTGCTTCAGATCACAAGGGGAGGTGTGGCATTGGGAACTTCTGGTGTGGGGGGGTGGGAGGAGGAGGTGGGCATCCCTGCCTCTCTGCCTTTTTAGGATCTCTGCATACTGACGTTTCAGGAATTCTTTGAGATGCTCCAGATGTTGGTGGTACGCGATCCACATTTAGAAAATCTTGACAACATTTTCAAGGTAAACCAGGTATCAGGGTAGTAGATACACGGGACAGGAAGATTGCTCCATACCTGGAAGCCTGCCTCATGAGAGGAGGGGAGAAGGCAGCTGGAATAGAGAAGGGATCACTAAGAAAATGATGGTTTGAGGAACCAGTCGGGATGGGAGATGTGTGCTGAAAGTAGATAAAGGACCAAACATGATAACCTCTCAGTGTATTGCAAACCATAATGCCTCAAAGTAGAGAGTATGGGGAATATTGTCTGCGGTGGAGGCAGGGGGAGGGAGGGAAAGGGGGGGTATACTGGGGACATTGGTGGTGGAGAATGTGCACTGGTGGAGGGATGGATATTTGATCATTGTGTGATAGTAACCCAAACATGAACGCTTGTAACTATCTCACGGTGATTCAATAAAATTTTAAAGAAGAAAAAAAAACAGGTATCAGGGGAGACTAGGCAATTAAGTGGTGAAAGTGGAAGAAGGAAGTGAGGACTTGGTTACAGCGTAATAATTCAAGTATCTATTTTGAATCGGACTTGGATTTAAATTCTTTTTTGTTTGCTTTTGTTTTGGGGTCATACCCAGCAGTACTCAGGGGCTGCTGCTTCCTGGCTCTGCACTCAGGAATTACTCCTGGTGGTGCTCAGGGGACCATTTGTGATGCCAGGAATCAAACTCGGTATCACACGCAAGGCAAACATCCTACCTAATTTAAATTATTCCCCGCCCTTCAATAGTTATAAACGCAGCAAGTAATATCTCTAAGAGTCCCATATCTTTGCCTCTAAATGGGGATTGTAAAAAGTAAGTAAATAAAATGAATATATTTACTGTGAGCATTGAGTGAATAACTTAAGCAGTTGCAATCATTATCCTTTAAATGATTTTTGTGTACTTCCTCTGGGTTTCATTTAGTGACCTGCAAATGCAGCAACCTCATCAGTAAATACATCACTGCCTGGGGGGGCTGTAGGGGGTTCAGAAGTCTTTAAGAAGCCCCTGCTTGCACCCTGCAACTGCACCCATTCCAGTCTGTGCCCTTCCATCTTTAGGGGTGCATTCATTACCCTTCAAACACCCCTGCCCATGGGCTGGGGAGATAGTTCAGTGGAATAGAGTTTGTAGTGGGCATGCAGGAAGTCTGTGTTTGATCCCTTAGCGTCTCTGGAGCATCAAGCCAAGAGTGACTCTTTGTTGGGTGTGGCCCAAAATTGGAAAGGGAAAAAAAAGGCCATCTTGTACCCTATTTTAAAAAGGGGATGTCGGGGCTGGAGAGATAGCACAGCAGGTAGGGTGTTTGCCTTGCACGCGGCTAACCCGGGTTCGATTCCCAGCATCCCATATGGTCCCCTGAGCACTGCCAGGAGTAATTTCTGAGTGCAGAGCCAGGAGTAACCCCTGTGCATCACCAGGTGTAACCCAAAAAAGCAAAAATAAAATAAAATGAGGATATCCTGGAGGGAGTGAACCCTTTAAGCTGTTCCTGATTCTTTGCACTGGAGAGATAGCATAGCGGTACGGCCTGAGCCAGGTTCGATTCCTCCACTCCTCTCAGAGAGCCCGGCAGGCTACCGAGAGTATCTCGCTGCACGGCAAAGCCTGGCAAGCTACCCATGACATATTCAATATGCCAAATACACTAACAACAAGTCTCACGATGGAGATGTTACTGGGCCCGCTCGAGCAAATCGATGAACAATGGGAGGACAGTGCTACAGTGCTATAGATGGACATTCGTCCTTGGCATAATCAACTTTAGCAACAATGTTTTTCAATCCCTGTCTGTGTCTTTCCGCTCCTATTGTCACCCACCCCAGACACATCAGTTTTCTTTCCTTTATCCATTTGTTCCTTGTACTATTCTATCTGTGTTCTTTGATTTTGTGTGTGTGTGTGTGTGTGTGTGTGTGTGTGTGTTGGGGGGGAGTGGCAGGTAGAGTGGGAGTATTGCTTGGTGGAGCCAAAGATTGAACCCAGGGCTTGTGAGCAAGGCATGTGCTTTACCTGGGTTGGCAACTTAATGCAAGCCATTTCTTCTACCTGAAATACCTTTCTTATGAAACTCATCCTCGGATCTTTCCCATTAGCCCTCCCTGATCAGTGAGGCCCGTGCAATCTCCCCACCCTCAGAGTCTTTCCATAGCCTCTCACTAATTTTCTTTCTTTCCAAAGTAGACTTCAGAAGGTTTAAAGCACCCACAATTGAATGGGAGAAAGAATAGGCTACCGTAGGATAAAAGGGGGGAAATAAGCCTAGCAGAACAGCCCCTGCAGGAGTCAGTTCACTGCACCTCCAGAGTCTTTGGCCCTCGTTTGAAATCCCATCCATTCATTTCCACCCCAAACTGATATATCCTGCAGGAAGATATTCTCAGACAGAGCAGCAGCATGCAGACCTCTCCTCATTTACCTCCAAATTTTATCCCGGATCCTCCTGATTAAACCCAGTCAATAAACTGCCCTTTCTTTTCCACAGCACTTGTCCCCCTGGCTGCAGACAAACAGACACTCTGAGCGGATGCTGGCCACCACCAGCATTGCTGAAGTTCTGAAGTGCTTATCCAGAAATCTCAGCTTGAAGGTCAGTGACCCTGGCATGATGGGGGAAACGGATCCAGTGCCATCTTCTTACCCGCTCCTTCCCCCATTTGGGGGGCCCACACCTGTTGTTTCTCAGGGCTTAATTCTGGTTCTGTGCTCAGGAATCACTCCTGGAAGGCTCAGGTGACCATATAGGATGCCGGAGATTAAACTTGGATTCTCTGCATGCAAAGCAATTGCCCTACCACTGTACTATGTCTCTAGCCCTATTTTACTTTATTTTTGGTTTGTTTTTTGGGTTTTTTGGTGTTTTTTTTTTTTTCGTGTGTGTGTGTGTGTGTGTGTGTGTGTGTGTGTGTCACTGTCAGTGGTGCTCAGGGCTTACTCCTGGCTCTGAGCTCAGGGATCAGCCCCTGGCAGGGTTCAGGAGACCATCTGGGGCATTGGGGATTAAACTAGGGTTCTTTGCATGGAAGGCAGATGCCCTACCACTGTACTATCACTCTGGTCCCTTCCAATGCCATCTCCTTATCACTGCTATCCTTCCTGTTCGTGTCTCAGTAAACTGGTGACTCCTCAGTGGCCAGGTTGAACGGAACACTTAGCATTGCTCACTGATCTGCCACTCTGGTAAAATATGAGCAGCTCGAGGCCAGATACTGTGGTTATTAATCTTGCACCCTCATTGCTTAGCGCAAGAGCTGGAACATAGCAATACAGTAAGTGTTCTTGAATGAATGAATAAATGTGACCTGGAAATATTTCAGGGCTCCATCTCCAAAGTAATGAAGGACAGCAGGCATATCCCAGTAAATCATTTGAGTATCTCCTAACATTTCAACAAAAATGGTTCTTTGGCACCTCTTCTTTATTTGTGGGGTATTTAAGGGGAATGCCAGGGTCATGTATGTGAAGTGGATTCTCTGCTGTTGAGCTCCATTCCATTTTCAGGTCTCTCATTTCTCTTTCACTGTCTCATTTAGCGGTAGGGCGTTTGCCTTGCACGCAGCCAACATGGCCGACCCGAGTTCGATTCCTCTGCCCCTCTCGGAGAGCCCGGCAAGCTACCGAGAGTATTCGATATGCCAGACACAGTAACAACAAAGTCTCCAATGGAGACGTTACTGGGCCCGCTTGAGCAAATCGACGAACAACGGGAAGGGCCTTTACCTTTACCTTTACCTTACCTCAGTCCTCTCCTGTAATTCCCAGCACAAGATTGAAGCTTCAAAGGAAGCTTCAAAATTGAGCTTCCTTCCTGCATCTGTTCCTTTTTTCATCAAAATATCTCTTTTCCCCTTTTCTTCTAAGCCCCGAATCTTCTGTTCTCCACCCAGGGAAACCTCCTGCTCTTCAGTGTGGTAACAAAGGCACGGGGAATGGAAGAGAAGTTGGTGGGGTAGGAACGTTAGGTCTCCATGCCAGAATTAAATAACATGTTTTTTCGTTTTGTTTTTTGAATTCTTGGGGTCCAGTCCAGCTGTGTTCAGGTACTAGTCTGGGCTCCATGTTCACTGGTTCATTCCCTGCCTGTATTCAGGGGACCAGGTGTTGCTTGGGATAGAATCTGGGGTTTTCTTATGCAAATCATGTTCTCCCTGATCCAAGAATTTGTTCTTGGTACAGATGTGGTTCTAACAGTCATGCCTGAAGGTATGAGTTTCTGCTAGCATTCTTATTTTTCACATTGAAAATATATCCAAACTGGAACTGGAGAGATAACAGAGCAGGTAAGGCACTTGCCTTGCACACAATCATCCCTTGAGCACTGCCAGTGAGTGACTTCTGAGTGCAGAGTCAGGACTAACTCCTGAGCACCACCAACAGTGACAGAAATAAACAAATACATAAATAGAAAATACATTTTAAACTTTCCATCTCTTTGTTGAAGTTACGTTCAGTTGATTAAACTATTCAGCTTCCCTTTTCTCTCCCTTTTTGTCAGTGAAAACAGCGAACTCTGGTCACCACTTCCCACCCTATTAGTCAGTCCTCATTGACTACCCTCTTGTTTCTGTTTACAGCAATGCATTGTTTCTCCTGTATTCCTCAGCCTCTCACCTTAGCTGCTGATGAGGGAAGAGCTTTCAGATGTCATCTCTGCTCATCTCTCTTTAGACTGTAGAGATCTTCTTAGGGAGAATTGTTAATGTTAATATAGATGTCACTGGGGATCTGTGAGCGCCCAGAGAGTTATATACAGAAAGTCACAGGGGGCAGTCTTCTGGATTTTCCTGAGGATGGTTAATCTTAATCAGTTTTATCGGTTTATAATTTATGTGCAGTAGAATTCACCCAATTTAAGTGTACAGTCCTCACTGGGCTATACACTTTTTGTTTTGGGGCCACACCTGACAATGCTCAAGGGATACTCATGGCTCTGCACTCAGGAATTATCATAGTCGTGCTCAGGGGACATATGGGACACCAGGGATCAAACCCTGTCAGGTGTTTGCAAGGCAAGTGCCCTACCCACTGTACTATCCCCCGGTCCCATCCAGTGAGTTTTGATAGCTTATTTTGCCCTACTCTTAACTCCTTACATATTCTCAAATGAACTTTCAAAGATAAAGAATAGTGGGTCAGGAAGATTGTTCAGTGGACTGGAGCACTAAATGGGGAGTAGCCCCCGAGCACCATTGGGTGTGGCCCCAAATCAAACAAACTAAAAAATAAAAAATGGAGCTCCAGAAATGGCTCAAAGGGCTGCAGCATGGACTGTACATGCGGGAGCCCCAGATTTGATCTCTGCACTACAGTGCTCTCCCAAGTGTCACTGGGTTTGACCCTCCTACCCAAAGAAAAGATAAAAAATAAATGAGGAGAATGTTCAAGAGCCAATTAATCACTAGTGATTAAGCTAAAGTATAATTTGCCAACAGATATTTTGTGTATGTGTGTTGTTATTGTTGTTTGTTGGTTTATCGGCTGTCTTAATTTTTTCCCTGGGAAGGATATCAATAATCAAATTATTTTTGTTTGTTTTGGAACCACACCCGACAAGGCTCAGGGGTCATTCCTGGCTCTGCATTTAGGGATCACTCATGGAATGCTCAGAGTACTATATGGAACTGTAGGGATCAAATCCAGGTTGGCCTTGTGCAAGGTAGGTGCCCTGTCCTCTGCACTATGGCTCCAGCCCCAATACTTTAAAATTTTAATAATAATGTTGGTACCCCTCACCTTTGTATCCAACTTTTTCTTGACAAATAACGCTGTTATAAATTCCTACATACTTGATTCTTAATGATTTAGTACTCAGAGTGACTACCATAGTTCTCTTTTCTGCTGTTACATATCATCTGCTAGATGTTTTATGTCTATACAAATAACATGTAAAAAGACACAGTACCTGAATATACTCTCGCACCTTTCTTGAGTAGCTGGTGAAAGTGGCATTACTCTACGGAACTACATGTATTCTGGTGTCAGAGTACAGCAGGTAAGGCATTTGCCTTGCACACAGCGACCCAGGTTGAATCCTCAGCATCCCTGATCATCTCCCCGAGCACAGCCAGCACTGGTCCCTGAGCGGAGAGCCAGGAGTAACCCCTGAGCACCACTAGGTGTGGCCTGAAAACAAATGAGCAAGTGTAAATGCATTCTAAAGCTATGTTTCTCTTCCTCCCCTATCAGCTTCCTCTGCGTTTTCACAGACTTGGCCACCTCGTGGCTCTGATGGCGCTGCTCTGTGGGGACCCAGTGACTTCGGTGGCTGAGAAGGCTGCAGAGGGCATGCACCACCTGCTGCGTATCACCCTGAGACTGAAATGTGAGGCTCCGCGGCTGCCAGTAGGGCCCTGGGCAGCCCTCGGGCACACATGCGCACACACACCCGGCGTCTGCGCTCGTACTGCCCACTCTCTTGTATTGTTTCAGTTAACTTACGTTTTTAATTTGGGGGCCCACAGACTGCAGTATTGGGGATTGCTGCCAGAGGTGCTCAGAGGTCTGTGCGGTGCCAGGGATCAAGCTTAGGCCTCCTGCATGCTTTGCACACACTCAGCACACTTAGCTATCTTTCAGGCCTCCCCGACATTCTTTTAGCAGTAGTTAATAAAGAGAACGACACGTAGTTTACATTCTGAGATAAAAGAACAGTGAGTTAGTAATTTGAATCATCACACTGGGCCTGATCTGTCGGTGCTGGCCATCTGCATGGCCCTGGAGTTGGTGCATCTGCACACGTGACCCCATAGACAGATGGAAATGACCAACCTGGCCATCATTTGGGCTTTCATTCGTCACTCTCTCCTTTAAGTGTTCACGGAGCACTTCCTTGGGATCCCACAGTAATCAGCACAAGAGTCCCATCCTTAAATCAGGGTTTGGGAGGAGAGGCTTCAGACGAGGGCGTCATGGGAGTCACACAGCGAGCTAACAAACAACTATGAGAAGCAAAGACCACTGCTGTAAAGGGAGAGATTTCGGGAACCGGGAGGAAAGAATCAGTTCAACAAGCAGGGCTCAGTAAATCCATTTCTGGAAATAATCTGAAAATTAACTAAGAGATGTAGTAAAGAGAACAAACAAGGCAAAGCTAGCAGCTTGAGCAAGAGCCCGCAGCAGGAATTTGAAAAGGAGAGAGAGCAGGCAGCTGCTGTCAAGGAGCAACTCATCAGCTTCCTCAGAAGAGACGGGGTGCAGTGGGGGCTGAGGAGATGTCTAGCAGGTAATGCATGTGGCTTGCAGGGTGCCAACCCAGGTTTGATCCCTGGCACCCTGTATAGTCTCCAAGTCATCCCTGAATGGAGAGCCAAGAGTGAGTCCTGAGCACTACTGGGGTGGCCCTCTTAAAAGAGAGAGAGAGAGAGAGAGAGAGAGAGAGAGAGAAGGAGAGACTTGGGGGGAAATTTCTAAATCCTGCACTCTCACCACCTCCCCAGACACCTCACCACTCAAATATCTATCTTCTCAGTCCCCAAGTATCCATCTGCTTAGTCCCCACTGAGTCACTGGGATATTCATCTGCTCAGTCCCCTCCAAGAAGTCTCCCTGCCTAGCTCTGTGAGTACTGAGACAGAAGTCTCAGATCTGAGAGGCTCTGAGTGAGAGCAGTGTCTAACAAGAAACACAAAAAATGAAACAGCTGGGGGCTGGAGCGATAGCACAGCGGGTAGGGCATTTGCCTTGCATGCGGCCGACCCAGGTTTGAATCCCAGCATCCCATATAGTCCCCTGAGTACCGCCAGGAATAATTCCTGAGTGCAGAGCCAGGAGTAATCCCTGAGCATTGCCAGGTGTGACCCAAAAAGCAAAAAAACAACAACAACAAAAAAAAAACCCAGCTGATTATTCAGTCAGCAAATGTTTATACATCCCTTCTTTTTCTAGCAAAGTATTGATGAACAAGACAAACAAGGTCCTGTCCCCTAAAGAATTCTTTATCTAGATGGAAAGACAATATCCTGAACCAATAGAAAAATTTCAGCGACCGTGAGTCACAGCAAAACAGGAGAAAAAAGTGGTGTAGAATTGGCAGAGAGAGTAAGAAGCAAAAGTGTTAGGGAGAGAATTCCGAAAGGCTAGAGCACAGGCTTTGCATTGCGTTTAGTCCCCAGCACTGCATGGTCCCCCTAAGTGACTTGAGTATTGCTGACTGTGACCCAGTAGGGGGGAAAATGAGCAGCTAAAGAAGACACAGAGTTCTAATGTCAGAATTGTCAGACCTGTACACAATTGTGCAGTTTTTCATGGGGAGCTCAGTTTTATAAAGGAGACCCCTCAAAAGTCCTCACTAAGTCAGGAAAAGACTCAGAATGCTTTGGTTGTACTCCTAAATCATGTTTTCTTTCAGCCCCTTTCTCTGTGTTGGTCTACAACAGGTAAAACAAATAAGCCTTTAGGGCAATACACACTTTCCTTTGGGCATTTTTATTCAAATAAAGAAGAGAAAAATGATAATCTTGGGGTTCACATCAACCTAGAGATCGTCTTGGAAACTCAAGAGGAAAAGACTAAGGCCGATGTATTAATGGTTTGTATTTCTTTTCAGATACTGCCCATGAGGAGAAAAATTATGAAAGCTTTAGAAGAGCAATGAAAAGGTGTCGCAATGCCCTGAAATTCTACAGCATTAAACAGTTCTACAAATACCCCTTCCAGATTGCTCAGGTGCTCTACCCGAGGGCTGATGTGTCACAGTCAGACAACTTGAAACGTTGGAAAGGACAGGAAGTGTCATATATCTGTTTTCATTGTGTGAATGTTAAATGGCAAGGCCCCTTTGGGAAAAGTTCTGGTAATTTCTCATAAACCAAACACATGAAACTTTGCAGAGACTAGAACATTCCATACAGGGAACCAGGCTCAAGGACCATGACTCTTCCATACCTCATCTGTTCACCTGTTCCTTGTTGGTTTTTGAACCACATCCAGCAGTGCTCAGGGCTTACTCCTGGCTCTGTGCTCAGGGATCACTCTGGCAGGTGTGGGGGACCATATGAGGTGTCAGGGAATTGAACCCAGCTCAGCCATGTGCAAGGCTAACACCCTTCCTACTAGTGTATCTCTCCTGCCACAAAGATTTTCTTTTAACCTGTTTATTAGTGGTTGGCTGAACTTGTCAGTGGGGTCAGCATCCCTGTCCAGTTCTTTCTTAAGACAAGCTCTGCTCCTGTCAATGGTTTTCCAAGCCCACCTGCAGTATAAACAAACCTTTGTCCCAAAAAGGGACTACAGAAGAGTGTGATTGATCCGCCAAGACACACTTCTAAATATATTTATTATTCAACAAATGTGTAAGTATCTATTAGGTCCTTGGCACTATGTTAGGGGGAAATAAGAAACCCTACTGCATTTCCCACATGGTGTACACCCATGGGCTGGAACGATAGCACAGAGGTTAGGGCATTTGCCTTGCACGCAGCCAACGCGGCCAACCCGGGTTCGATTCCTCCGCCCTTCTCAGAGAGCCCAGCAAGCTACCGAGAGTATTTTGCCCGCACGGCAAAGGCTGGCAAGCTACCTGTGACGTGTTCGATATGCCAAACACGTAACAACAAGTCTCACAATGGAGACATTACTGGGCCCACTCGAGCAAATCCATGAACAGTGGGAGCACAGTGACTTTATTACTGGTGTCAGGTCCCAGATGCCAAGAACTTTTTTTTTTTTTGGCGGGGGGGGGGGGGAGGTGTCACACCCAGCAATGCTCAGGGCTTTCTCCTAGCTCTGCTCTCAGGAATTACTCCTGGTGGTGCTTGAGGAACCATATGAGAGGCTGGGGATCGAACCCAGGTCAGCCATATGCAAGGCAAGTGCCCTCCCCGCTGTACTAGCCACTCCAGGTGTAAGAGGATTTTTTCCTATTCAAGTTTCTTCCACATTAGTGCCTTGAAAGTTAATTTTCTTTAAATTATCTCAGGTCTTTGAAGTTTTTCTCAATTCTAACGAGCTCTGCCAGTTTGTAATGACTGTAGCGGATGGCCTGAAAAATCTGCGCTATCCTTCCATCCAGCTAGCAGCAGGAGAATTGCTGATAACGTTGATGGAAAACGTGAAGTCCAGGTTTGAAAAGGTAAACCCAGAAGTCATTGCCCAGGTGTAGGAGGGCCCAGGCCTCTCTCCAGCAGCTGCTTCTGCCTCTGCTACTGCTTCTGTCGGGCTGGGAACAGCTTCTGCGAGAGAACAGAGTCCACCTCTTGGTTCCTGGGTGAAGAAGGAACATCCATCCACTTAACATACAATAGACAGTCACCGTGTGTGCACCTGGGGAGGGAGATTACTCAAGTCTCAAGAGTGATCCCTGATTTCCAAGGACATAGAAATGTTCTCAAGATATAATCAATACAGATGAGAAATGTAACTGCATTTAGATCTTCATCCTGGTTAACTAAAGGTCTCAACTTAAAAAATCTGAGTGTTTCTAAAAGAAAGATGGCTTACTATGATCCAAACAGAATTTTTAAAATGTGTACTTAGAAGTAGTACATCAAGAAAAACAACGCATCACTTAGAAACCAGAAAAGGAGCGGGAACACAGAGCAAGTGTAGAGGGAAGGCAGCCCTGGTTTAAGTCCCCAGCACCTGTATGTTCATCTGGCCACTGTTGCAGCCACTGCTGCGGTCGCTCCTAGGCACAGAGCCAGGAGTAACCTCTGAGCAGCTCTGGTTATGGTCCTAATAACTGTCCTCCACCACTGAAAAGAAAGAAATATGGAAAGAATTATGGAAAGGGATGAATATAGACTCGAGAGAGACGGGGTGATAAAGAGCTTTGAAATATCAATGAGTGCTTAAAATTGTGTGCATGTTGCATTTGGTAAAAATAGGAGACGATTTTGTTTTTTATTTTATTTTAGTTGTTTCGGCCACACGAGTGGTGCTCAGGGTTTACTCCTGGCTCTGCTCTCAGGGATGACTCCTGGCGCTGCTCAAGGGACCATATGGGATGCCAGGGTTTGAACCTGAGTCAGTCATGTGCAAGGCAAATGCCCTACCTGCTGTACTATCACTCTGGCCCTAAGGATCAATTTTAAAACAAAGTATACCTTTTGACTCTTTAAAATAGCAGAGAGGAAAACAAACACATAGTTCTATGAAAGCATGTACTATGGTAGCTCTTGTCAGTTGGGAGCTTGTCGCTATAAACAAACAAACAAAAGGACGATAGTGAGAAGCTTAAACACAGGATTTATCACTTCATCTGGGAAGTCTAAAAGTCTGTTTTCTGGCTTTGTTTCAGTGATTCAAGAGTATAATGGAAGGGGGCCGGAGCGATAGTATAGCGGGGAGGGCGTTTGCCTGGACACAACCGACCTGGGTTCTATCCCCGGTATCCCATACGGTCCCCCAAGCACCACCAGGAGTAATTCCTGAGTGCAGAGCCAGGAGTAACCCCTGAGCATCGCTGGGTGTGACCCAAAAAGGAAAAAAAAAAAGAGTGTAATGGGGAGTTCCCATCTTCCCACTCTGCTTCACTCTACAGTCATTAAGTAGTTGTCTCGATTTCAGACTATCTAGGTAGATAAACGAATGGTAAAGAGGAGAGATAGTATCTTCCCCTTTTAGGAGGAGAGCTTCAGGAGGATAATCATTCGTAAAGCCCCCAGTAGATTTTCCCCCTCAGTTTCATTGGCCAGAATTCTATCATCTGCCATTAAATCAGACTTGGCAAATTTGATGAAGACAGCCTTAAAACAAGAACAACAGCAACAAAAATTTAAATCAGATTTGCCGAGGACATCTGAGATGCTGACATATCTGCAGGGCCCTGGAGGCCAGGAGTTTACCAGAGGGGAGAGTAGTTAAAGCAGAGCAAGGGACCAAAGCCATGTGTAACTGTTGCCTTCTTGTCTCAACATGTTAGACCACAGGAAGGAAGGCAGAGGCAGGCCCCACTGCTCATCCCAGAGTCAAGTCAGAGTAGGAAAAAAAAAAGTCTCCTTGCAACAGTTGCATTAATCTATTATGAAGTCAACACATAGTCATTAAGAAAAAATTTAGAAAAAGTCTATCAGTGGAAACAAGTCTTGCCACTAAAAAAAATACATTCGTGGTATATTTTATATACATTCTTCTAAACCTTTTGTATGCATATCTTTTAAGTAGTTTTGATAATAAACATTTGGGAACAGGGACCTTAACACAGGGGCTGTTCCCAGTTCTGTGCTCAAGGATCATTCCTGATGGTGCTCAAGGAACCATGTGCAGTGCTAGGGATGGAACCCAGGTCGGTAACATGCAAGGCAGACAGGCACCTTAACTCCTGTACTTTCTCTATAGACCTTTGATAATACACTTTTAAAAAATAATAAATGTGGGGCTGGAGTGATAGTATAGCAGATAGAGCATTTGCCTTGCATGCAGCCGATCTGGTTCAGTCCCTCCCACCGCATGTGGTCCCCTGAACCTGCCAGAGTGATCCCTGAGCACAGTGCCAGAAACAAAATTTTTTTTCAATAAAGATTTTATTATAAAAGGCACCCTCAGATCTTCACAAATCGCCAGAATATTCTCAGGTACTGAAGCTAAAAAGATAGTACAGTGGGTAGGGCGTTTGCCTTGCATGTGGCCAACCCAAGTTCAATCTCCAGTATCTCATATGGTCCCCTGAGCCCACCCAGAGTGATCACTGAGCGCAGAGCCAGGAGTAAGCCATGAGCACTGCTAGGTGAGGCCCAAAAGCAAAACAAGCAGACAAAAATCTCAATAACTCTCCATGTCCTCCAGGATTAAGGTCTTAGTGATATCTTTTTCCTCCTCAGGTGCCCGAGGTTATAGGGGTTATCTGTGCCCGACTCTCCATGGTCAGCCATCCTGTAGTCCGCCAACAAATTATCAATACCGTGAGCGTGATTATGTGCACACCCATTTACACAGACGTAGTGGTCAGCCACCTTCTGTGCCAGCCATTGCCATTCAACAGGTAACAAGAACACTACACCTGCATAGCTGCTGGATTAAACTGTGCTGCATGGCACAGCTCTGGGTATTGTGCACCATTTAGGGTACTTTTGAGGTGGCAATAGATAGAAATTGACACCTTTGGTGTAAATCAGATGGGTAAATACAAGGGAACAACCCAGCTAATCCAGAATGATTATGTCCTATATAATAGTTTTATTACAGGACTAGACTAGACTAGAGCTGGACTAGAGCCATTACTGACTGGATTCCACGGGATGTCAAAAGATCGCGTGGACGCCCACCTACAAGATGGTCAGACTTCTTCGTCAAGACCCTGAATGATTGGTTTGAGGCTCTGCATGTTCCTAGAATGAACAGATGCCATTGGGCTACACTAGCATGCAACAGGGATGAATGGAGACATTACTGGCACCTGCTCGAGTAAATCGATGAATAACAGGGGATCAAGTGATCAAGCGATCAAGTGATAATAGTTTTCACTGAACTCTTCCAAAATGTTAATATTGAGGGGGGAAATGGTAAGGGGAGCATTATTTTGCATAAAATGACACCAATAAGACATAACCCAGAGTAATATATGTGACCAAAATCACATACTAGAACCTAGATCAAAATCAAAAATGATGAAAGGAAATTTTGAAAAAGATTAAAATACAGACTATCCTACTATGAAATAATAATATGGTTTTGTGGAAGAATGTTGTTATTCTTAGGAGATACAGATTCTGAAGTGATTAAGGATAAGTGTCATGTCTGTATACTGCAGGGCTTATGTTAAAAGGTTGAAAGGTGTCATGGTGGTGGTAGAGTAATTTCCTTACATGTGTGAACACTGGGTGCGATTTCCAGCACCATAAAAAGGAACAAGATGGGGGCTGGAGTGATAATACAGCGGGCAGGGTGTTTGCTTTGCACGTGGCCCACCCAGGTTCAATTCCCAGCATCCCATATGGTCCCCTGAGCACCACCAGGAGTAATTCCTGGGTGCAAAGTCAGGAATAACCCGTGTATCGCCAGGTGTGATCCAAAAAGACCAAAAAAAAAAAAGGAAAAAGAACGGCTGAAGCAATAGTTCAGTGGGTATGGCATTTGCCTTGCATGCGGCCCACCCAGGTTCAATCCCTAGCATCCCATCTGTGGTCCCCTGATTACTGCCAGGTGTGATTCCTGAGTGCAGAGCCAGAAATAACCCCTGAGCATCACCAGGTGTGACCCCCAAAAAGGAAAAAAATAAAAAAGGAACAAGAAGGGAAGATTTGTTTTATATATATGTGTGTGTATATATATATACACACACATATATAAAGACAGTGTAAGTATACACATAAAAAGATGTAGATTCAAAGAAGGGATCAAACATGGTGGCTTTTGTTTCTTTGGTTTGGGGGCCACACTCAGCGGTGCTCAGGACTTAATTCTGGCTCTGCACTTACTCCTGGCAGAGTTGGGGTGCTGGAGATTCAAACCTGGGTTGACCATGTACAAGGCAAGCACCATACCCACTGTACTATCCCCCCTCTTTTTATATAGAGAGATGCTTTTTAGAATGGGGAATCACATAGTAGTTTCAGCAGCTTCCTCCTGGGCAAGCCAGTGAGGCGCTTGCACCATCTCATTTTTTTTTATCTGTATTCGATATGCCAAACACAGTAACAACAAGTCTCACAATGGAGCTGTTACTGGACCTGCTTGAGCAAATCAGTGAACAACGGGAGGACAGTGCTACAGTGCTATAAACTGTGATTCTAGCTAATTGTAAAAAAAAAAACTCTCATCTTTAAACTGGAAACATTCATTGCCTTTTTTCTTTTTGGGTCATACCTGGCAGTGCTCAGGGGCTACTCCTAGCTCTGCACTCAGGTTTACACCTGGCAGTACTCGGGGGGATCACATGGGATGCTAGGGATCGAACCTGTGTCAGCCATGTGCAAGGCAAACACCGTTCCCGTTGTGCTTTCGCTCCGGCCCCTCAGTGACTTTTTATACTGAATTCAATTTCAGTGAATTTTTCTCATCTAAAGTCTTGGTATCAGGCTGATGGGATTTTATTTCTGTTCTGTCCCTACCCTCTTCCCTTCACCTCTGTTGCTGTTTCTGTTGCTGAGACTGGGCTCACACACCTCAATGGCAGAGCTCACACATGTGCTGGCTGGGAGTTTCACTTGTTCATGGACGGTGCTTGCACCCTTCATTGTGGTGCCACCAGGAGTCGCTGCAGTGCTCACATGTACCCCACATGACTTCGGGAAAGTCATGGTCCTGGCAGGCCTAGGATAAGCCACTCATGAGCTCTCTTCTGGGAATTTCTAGGTCTCTGACAGAGCTATGGAGAAATCTGACGGTGAATGTGAAACTCACAACCTGGATCCTGTCGCGGCTGCTGAGGAAGCTGCAGAGAAGTCATGTTCAGCCCTTCCAGGAGAAGATGAACTACATGACTGTTTCAGTAGGCCATGGAGCTCTGTCCCTCAGCCTCCTGCCCACCGACCCCCCACCTGGGGGTGACTGCCTCAACACCTCCCCTTTTGGTGGTCCTTTTCCTCTTTATTTTTTTTTCTTTTTGGGTCACACCCAACAGTGAACAGGGATTACTCCTGACTCTGCACTCAGAAATTACTCCTAGCGGTGCATGGGGGACCATATGGGATGCTGGGAATCGAACCCAGGCCGGCTGCGTGTAAGGCAAATGCCCTACCTGCTGTGCTATTGCTCCAGCCCCCTTTTCCTCTTTAAAGTCTTTTCTGTTACCCATTTATTAATCAGCAGTATCTTGACCAAAAGATCCGTGTGGAGGGTTTTGAGGAATTAGGGTGGTTTAATGTTTTGGAGTATTTTTCCCCCCTGACCTGGTATGTGGGGCATTGTGACCACAGCCAGTAGTTCTCAGGTGTTTAGGGTATATAATAATTTATTTTTAATTACCTTTTAAAACTAGAATATTCACATATATACTTCTATGTAAATATAAACAGCATCAAACCTTTCGTTTTGTAGTAAATATCAAGAAAAATAAACATTTGGGGTCAGAGTCAGAGTACAGCGGGTAGGGTATTTGCCTTGCATGCAGCTGACCTGGGTTCAATCCCCGGCATCCCATATGGTCCCCCAAGCACTGCCAGGAGTGATACCTGCATGTCGAGCCAGAAGCAAGCCCTGAGCACCACTGGGTGTGCACCCCCCCAAAAAAAGAATACCAAATTTTAAATGAAATTTTAACAGTCCCCCACTACCCCAACTTTTGTACTAAAACAGTGTATTGGGCTAGGGAGAGAGCCAGAGGGTTACCTATCTTACTGATAGGTTCAAGAATTTGATACAGTAAGACTGTCACATAGGCACAAATACTTTTCCAGGTTATCTGTTGTCTGACTCTTGATGATAAAATATATCCTGGCTTTACATTTCAAATATATTAAGTTTCTTTTCAGAGTTCACTTCTGGGTATCAGGGCTCCATTCATTGTTTGGCAACTTGCTATGTTTTTGTTGTTGTTTTATGAGGGCCTCTCCGGATTGCTGAGAAGGACAGGGCTAAACCCAGCAGTGATCAGGCGACCACGCGATGCTGGGACTTGGTCCCAGGGCCCTGAGCTCGCCAGATATGTGCTCCAACCCTTTGTGCTATCTTCCTGACCCTGCTCTGATAAATTATTAATATATATTTTGGGGGGCTCACATCCAGCAATGCTCAGGCGTTAATCCTGGTTCTGCACTCAGAAATTACTCCTGTCAGTGCTCGGGGGACCATGTGGGGTGCAGGGGATTGGACCCAGATCAGCCATGTGCAAGGCAAATGCCCTACCCGCTGTACTATCACTCCAACACCACTGTGGTAACTTTCAATAACCACTTCAGCCCTTACCCCTTATGTTCTTTGTTCTCATGTCCTGATGTGCTCACCACTGCTGTGGGGTAGGAGAACCAGAAGGTGTGTGCATACACACACACGCACATACACTCACATACGCATACACACATTCACACACACATTCTCACACACATATTCTCTCTCACACACATATCCTCTCTCACACACATACACACGCACGCGCTCACACACGCACACACACGCAGGCCACACAGCCAGCAGGTCTTCAGTTCAGTACTTTCCTTTTCCTTTCCTCCCACAGGCCACCAGTGCCCTTTCGGAGGTGTTTATAGGAAACAAGCTCAAAGCAGCCATGTTCCGACTCTTTCCTCAGCTTCTTATTGCACTGCTCATCCAGATTCACCACTGCATCGGTCTCACCATGTCTGATGTCTCCATCCCGCCTTACCTACTCTCGAACCAGGAAATGTTTTCAGAGGTCGCTCCTTTGGGGTATTGCCCATTACTGTTTTATTGCCTTTATCCAACATCTATTAAGCACCAAGGGCCGAGGGAGCGACAAGGGCGGCCACAGCATGGTCCCAGCTGGCAGAGCTGATAAGCCGGCCACCCTCATGAGACCCAGGGAAAGGGGCAGCGATTATTCTAGGCTTTTGTGTGCTGTCTTTGGTTTTATTGCTGACACGGTTAGCATGGCTGTCTGGGTCCGGATGCCCTCTCCAAATAGCACCAGTCCTTTCTTGATAAGTCGGGAAAGGAGAGGTAGTGAACTTTCATCCCACCTCCAAAGTGGAACCCACTTACAGTTGGACAATTCCTTGTTTTGATGTGTTGTTATTGTTTAGTTCCCCATTAGGACTTCAGTAGACATCTTGTGGTGTTACTATGATGTAAACATTTTTTTTTTCTTTTTTGGGTCACACCCAGCGATGCTCAGGGGTTATTCCTGGCTCTACACTCAAGAATTACTCCTGGTGGTGCTTGGGGGACCATATGGGATGCCGGGGATCGAACCCAGGTTGGCCGCGTGCAAGGCAAACGTCTTACCCACTGTGCTGTCGCTCCAGCCCCACTATGATGTAAACATTTCTTACAAAGAAAGTACTAGAAAGTAGACTACTTCAGAACTTCTGGGTGTCAAGAGAACTGAGTTCCAATTCCCACTCCCCTGTTACGCAGTGAGGGACCCTGGAGAGATACCTGCCTTGGTTTCCTTCTGAGATCTTGCTTGGTGTTTCCTGGGGACACTGTGAGTTTTCCGGTACCTGGGCTGGGGAGCTGACTCATGGCAGAAGCCTGTGCTTCACATACACAAACCGGTTCAGACCCTTGGGGCCGGAGGGACAGTGCAGCAAGCTGAGCACCACACGGTCCCCCAGCACCCTCAGGAGCAGCCCTGGAGCACAGAGCTAGGAGTAATCCCCAGCACTGCCAGATGTGGCTCCCTAGTAAACAAGCCGCAGCACCACATTGCTTCTTCCCTGCCCAGCACCATCGGGTGTAGAGTGGGGTGCTCCTGTGTTCCCCAGCATTGCAGGGCCTTGCCATTCAACCATGCCGCCTGAAAGTAGACTATTTCAGGGCTACTCAGGATTGACTCAGAATTGTCCGGAGTGGCCCCTGGGTCCCTAGAGCACTGCTTGGGAGCCCCCTAAAAGAGTCTGTTCATATTATTCTGCCCAAGATCTAATTTAATAGTTTTGGAAAGCAGTAAAGCCTAATTGGGGGGCTTGAGCGATAGTACAGCGTGTAGGGCATTTTCCTTGCTCGCGGCCAACTCAAGTTCGATTCTCAGCATCCCATATGGTCCCCTGAGCACCACCAGGAGTAGTGCAGAGCCAAGAGTAACCCCTGTGCATCGCTGGGTGTGACCCAAAAAGCCAAAAAATAAAAATAAAAAAACCTAGTTGGGGTGGAGCTCAGTATTAGAGTATATGTCTCACCTGTATAAAGTTCTGGCTTTTATCCCCAGCACCATATTGAAAAGTTGATTAAAAAGCAGAGGCATTCTTTGGCTGATCACAACACCCAGGAGGAGAGAGAAAACAAAAGGGAATGCCCTGCCACAGTGGCAGGGGGGATGGGGGGATGGGAGGATGGGGGGGAGGGATATTATCCTGGTGGTGGAAAATGGGCACTGGTGGAGGGATGGGTATTTGATCGTGGTATGACCGAGATCCAAGCACAAAAATTTGTAAATCTACAACTGTACCTCATGGTGTTTCACTAAAAAAAAAAAAAGCAGAGGCATGATGAGTGGGGAGAAGGTGAAAATAACAAATGAAAAGAAGGGCCATGCATTTTCTCTAAAACATTTTTTTTAATTCAGTTGGTTTTGGTTTAACAACCGATACAGTCTGCTTTATCCTTGTGTTCAAACTCTCAAGTTTGAACAAGTTTGATTCAACTTCTTTTCCTTCCATTTTTTGGGGGGGTAGGCATACCTGGCAGTATTCGGGGGCTACTCCTGGCTTTGGTGTCTGGAGGTAGGCACTAGGCAACCATGAGGTGCCACCGATAACCCAGGCTTCTGGCAAGCAAAGTACGTGTTCCAGCCCATACTGAGTTATCACTTTGGCTCTAGGTAGATGTCTTTATGCTAAGACTTGGTGTGAAGGACCTTCCAGATTTATTGAGCATTGTGAGTCTTTGGGAAAACACAGAACAGGGAGCCTTACTGCTCGGAGGCCAAAGCTCAGAGCCCTCTTGGGCCAGAGCCCTGTGATCGTGCACGCTAGATTAGCGGGCTCTTCCACTCACTTGTGACTTTCTCTCTTTGCTTTAGCCTTGCCGTACAGGCTACCAAGACTCTCCTTTTCAGAACGTTGTGCTTTCAGGAATTCAGCATCATGGAAAAGAAAAAAGGATGGGCCCTCCTGGAAGGAGAAGATAGCCATCTCCAGGGCGTAGCTCTTCTTGCCAAGTAAGGTTTCCTTGCCCTGCATGACACCCACGCTCTCTACATCGTCATGGTTTCAGGTCATTTGTTCTTGCTGTTACAGCAACCAATGCATATCAGCTTCTGCTCACAAAGTGGGCCTATTGGCCCTTAATGTGGGACAATTTTTTCCTGAGGTCCTGGCTCCATCCTAAGCCCATATGCATCTGGAGCCAGTCAAACACTTTAGAGAGCTCCCTGCACTGGGCCTGGACTCACTGGAGAGGGACATTGGTTACTAAGTATTGTTCTGTTGGTGTTGCTTTGCAGCGCGATACTAGAAGGAAGTCCCGCCTTTGCACATAAGATCTTATATTTGTTAGTCCCTCTTCTTAACCGAGGGAATGAAAAGCATAAACTCACAGCTGCAGGCTTTTTTGTGGAGGTAAGAATCATTCCTTCGAAGTCGGATTCAGGGGGACTAGATAGTACAGGATGTATTAAGGTGCTTTCTTTGCATGCAGCCAACCCAGGAAGTGACCCCAAAGCCCAGAGGCAGGAGTAGCCCCTGAGTACCGCTGACCTCAAGCCCATCCCTCTCAAAAGAGAAGCAGCTGGCTTCAGGAAACCTAGCGTGTAGCACAGCCAGCTTCCCCAGGCTCTGTCCAACTTAGTGGCAGGCTGGTTTAGGTTTCAAACATGGGATAAAAATCATTTCAGGGGCTGGAGAGATAGCACAGCGGGTAGGGCATTTGCCTTGCACGCAGCCGACCCGGGTTCGATTCCCAGCATCTCATATGGTCCCCCAAGCACCGCCAGGAGTAATTCCTGAGTGCATGAGCCAGGGGTTAACCTCGGTGCATCGCCGGGTATGATTCAAAAAGAAAAAAAATCTTTTCAGATATATGCCTAGAAGTTCTTTCCATGCATTTAGCGTTCCCATGCCACTCTGTAACATACGTGCTGTGGAGAGAAAGTTCCAAAAGAAATTAGGTATTTGTTAATTAGAGGATGGGTCCTCTCATTAAAATGGGCTTAAAGGTAATTTCTTAAACTGATTTCTGGTTCTTTCAGCTCTTCCAGAGTCCAGTGGCTATGAGATTGCCCCGCATATACTCTGTTACCCGCTTGACAGACTGGCTCCATGATGAAAATATTCTCTTTAGAATTCTTGCTCTGAGGGGACTGCTCCACATGATCAGACACCAGAAGATGGTAGGAGGGACCCCCAAACCACTCATACTTTAGTAAAAAAAAACGTGCTTTAGAATACTATCACCAAGTAACAACTCAGGAGGAACGTTGGATAGCAGTCTGGGGATAGGAGTCACGGTGCTCCCATTGTTCATCGATTTGCTTGAGCGGGCCCAGTAACGTCTCCATCATGAGACTTCTTGTTACTGTGTTTGGCATATCAAATACATCACGGGGAGCTTGCCAGGCTTTGCCGTGCGGGTAAGATACTCTCGGTAGCTTGCTGGGCTCTCCGAGAGGGGTGGAGGAATCGAACTCAGGTTGGCCATGTTGGCTGCGTGCAAGGCAAACGCCCTACCGCTGTGCTATCGGTCGGAGTGATAGAATGGTGGGTAGGCACTTGCCTTGCAAGTGGCTGTTCTCATGTTCGGGGATAGGAGTGGGTGAGAAAAACCACTGGTACTGTTTCAACTTATTCAACTTGTCCATTCCTAGGATCAGTCTAAGAGTTACCCTCATTATCTTCCCAACTGGACTGTCTGTCCTTGTACCACGCAATATTATGGAGTAAATAAAAGGTAAAGGTATAGGCCCTCCCGTTGATCGTCGATTTGCTCGAGCGGGCCCAGTAACGTCTCCATTCTTTGTTGTTACTGTGTCTGGCATATCGAATACTCTCGGTAGCTTGCCGGGCTCTCCGAGAGGGGCAGAGGAATCGAACTTGGGTCGGCCATGTTGGCCGCTTGTAAGGCGAACGCCCTACCCGCAGTGCTATCGCTCCAATAGGTCAATTGATCTGCTCCTGAGAAGCTTACACCTAAGACAGAGATCACTAATATTCATATTCATATTAGAAGCTTATTTTCCACAGACCTGGTTAGAGAAGATAGCAGTCATCATCAGAAAATTAAATCCTGAGACCAGTTTATCACTTAAATTCTTTTTTCCTTCTCTTTTTCTCTTGGGCCTGGGATCAAACCCAATGTTTCACAAATGCTAGGTATGAGCTCTACCACTGAGTTTTCTTTTATTTAAAACGAGAGCCCAGAGAGTACAGCAGGTAGGTTGTTTGCCTTGCAAGCAGCCAACCTGGGTTTGTTCCCCAGCATTCTATATGGTTTCCCCAAATACCACCAGGAGTATTTGGGGAAACCAAATATATATATACACACATAATTAGGGGCTAATAATAGGCTAGGGCACTTATCTTGCATATGACCGACCCTGGTTTGGTTCCCCAAACCTCACCAGGAGTGATCCCTGAGCACTTCCAGGTGTGTCCCAAGAACCAAAATAATATATAATTAACATACATTAATTTTGTTTGGTTGTGTACATAAATATTGCCTTATTCTGTATACTTTTTTAATGTGAATATTACCTTATCCTCTACACTTTTTAATGTAAATACCACATTATCCTATATACTTTTTAGCATAAATATTGCCTTATCCTTAACATACTTTTTTAACATGGATATTGCCTTATCTTACCCACTTTTTAATGTAAATATCGCTTTATCCTGTACACTTTTTTTTTGCATAAATATTGCCTTATTTTATATACTTTTTTTCTCCTTGCTCGGTTCTTAGCAGCACTTTCACGTTTCATTGATGTTGTAGTACCATGGTTACAGTAGTGTTAACATTAATGGTTTTGGTGTACAACTTGGACCTCCACCACCACCAAAATGCCGAAGACCCTCTACCACTGTCCTTATGTCACGTCTAGTCCTCTTGTTCCTTTCCCTAACCCCAAACATACCCTGTGCCCCCACACTTCCAACTTGGTGACCTCAGTTCTGTAGTCAGAGGCCAAGGGTTTGGACCAGCAAGCTAATACCTGAGGTAAAGGACTTCCTTGTACGCCACCATCCCATTGGATCCCCGACACTGCCAGGGGTCACTCCTAAGCACAGAGCCAAGAATAGGAATAGCTCTTGAGCAAACCTGATTGTGACCCCCACTGCTCCCCAAAAATAAATACTAACAAAATTTCAGGGATTTATTATCTTTGGCTACTGTCCATTCCCTTGCTTTTGTTGCTTTGTATGCCACATATGAGTGAGACCATCTAGAAATTTTCCTTCTCTCTTTGACTTACTTTTTTCTATTAGGTTTTTTGGGTCACTGGTGATGCTCAGGAGTGTTACTCCTAGCTCTATACTTAGGAATTACTCCTGGCGGTGCTTGGGGCACTATATGTGATGCTGGGATTGAACCTGGGTCAGCCGCGTGCAAGGCAAATGCCCTACCCACTATGCTAGCGCTCCAGCCCCTCTCTCTTTGACGTACTTTGCTTAACATGGCCACCTCTGGATTCATCCAAATTGTATCAAAAGGCAACATTTTCTTATGAGTGAGTAGTATTCCATTGTGTATGGATAATACAACTTCTTTATTCACTTACCTGTCCTTGGACATTTGGGTTGTTACTAGATCTTAACTATACTAAATGATGCTACTGTGAACACAGATTTGCATAAATTAAACATAAATCTTTTTTATTTATTTATTTATTTATTTTGCTTTTTGGGTCACACCCGGCGATGCTCAGGGGTTACTCCTGGCTCATGAACTCCGGAATGACTCCTGGTGGTGCTCAGGGGACCGTATGGGATGCTGGGAATCGAACCTGGGTCGGCCATGTTGGCTGCGTGCAAGGCAGACGCCCTACCCGCTGTGCTATCGCTCCAGCCCCACATAAATCTTTTTAAATTAATGTTTTTTTGTTCTTGTGATAGGTGCCAAGAAGTAGAATTGCTGGGTAATAATAGGAGTTCTGCTGTAGATTTCTCGAGAAGTCTACTGTTTTCCCTAGATGCTGAGTGAGACAGTGAATGAGAACTCCTCTTTCACTGCATCCACACCAGCACTGTGGGTCCAGCCAGAGGCACAGCAGCAATTTGGGGGTATCAGGAAGCCTGAAGGCACCATCGGGCTGCGTGATGCACTCACCCCACAGGTACAGGCTGACTTGCTGGCAGAACCGCACCCCTCTTCTATTTCTTTAATGATGACTTATAGTTTTCAGTATATTAGTCTTTTGCCTCTTTTATTAAACATCCAAATCAAGTTTATTCTCAAGCTTAAATGTTTATGACAGAGAAAAAGTCTAAAAACATTCCATACTACTCTGTACTTAGGCCAGGCTAATATTATCTATCCCTATAGCAACAATGCTGATTAAATTGTTAAAAATTTTCTGAGTATTTAACTCCAGTACAGAGGCACATTTAACTTTTATGATCTCTTAATTTTGTATGTTTTTTAACTTAGTAAAATAATTTTTATTTTTGTTTATTATTATTTTTTAATATTTTTCATGAATCACCATGAAGCACAGTTACAGACTTACAAACTTTGATTGTTTCAGTCATACAACAATCGAGTACCCATCCCTCCACCAGTGCCCATTCTCCAACGCCAATGTTTTCAGTATCCCTCCCACCACCCTCACCTCATCCCCCCTACCTCTGTGGCAGGCATATTCCCTTTTACTCTCTCTCTCTCTCTTCCTTTAGGTGTTGTGGTTTGCAATACAGGCATTAAGTGGCCATCATGTTCAGTCTATAGTCTGCCTTCAGCATATATCTCCCATCCTGAGTGGGCCCTCCAAGCAACCTCAACTTGGTGGTCCCTATCTGAGCTGCCTTTTCCTCCTGCACGTGAGGCTGGCATCCAAGCCATGGAGCAATCCTCCTGGTCCTTATCTCTACTATCCTTGGTTGTTAGTCTCCCATTCTGTTACTTTATATTCCACAAATGAGTGCAGTCCTTCAATATCTGTCCCTCTCTTTCTGACTCATTTCACTTAGCATGATATTCTCCATGTTGATCCACTTACATGCAAATTTCATGACTTCATCTTTTTTAACAGCTGCATAGTATTCAATTGGGTAAATGTACCAAAGTTTCTTTAACCAGTCATCTGTTCTCAGGCACTGCGTATTTTCCAGATTCTGGCTATTGTAAACAGTGCTGCAATGAACACATAAGTGCAGATGTCATTTCTACTATACTTTTTTGCATCTCTGGTATATATTCCCAGAAGTGGTATGGCTGGGTCAAATGGGAGCTCAATTTCTAATTTTTTGAGAAACATCCATACTGCTTTCCAAAAAGGCTGAACCATGGGGCTGGAGCGATAGCACAGCGGGTAGGGTGTTTGCCTTGCACGCAGCCGACCCGGGTTCGATTTCCAGCATCCCATATGGTCCCTTGAGCACCGTCAGGAATAATTCCTGAGTGCATGAGCCAAGAATAACCCCTGTGCATCGCCGGGTGTGACCCAAAAAGAAAAAAAAAACCAAAAAGGCTGAACCAGTCGGCATTCCCACCAGCAATGAAGGAGAGTCCCTTTCTCCCCACATCCTTGCCAACACCATTGCTTTTGTTCTTTTGGATGTGTGCCAGTCTCTGTGGTGTGAGATGATATCTCATTGTTGTTTTGATCTGCATCTCCCTGATAATTAGTGATGAAGAGCATTTTTTCATGTGACTTTTGTTTTGCCTTGTTTTTAAATTTTTTTTATTTTATAAAGTATTTCACAATATTTGATTACATTTAATATTCAAATACCAATCCCACCACCATTACACCTTCTCACTATCATATTTTGGGTGTTTTCATCCCGAACTCCAATCCCTGCCTCAAAACAGAACTGAAATAATATGTTTTGTATTGTTTATTATGAAAAACGCCTGAAAATGCTACAAAAAAGTATCCTAAGAGGAAAGAGTATGAAGATTGTTGTATTTCACCCAGGGACCATTAAGCCCTTCTATAAGAGATCACTGACATGTTAAAGGTTGAGCCTTGTGTGCTTTTTATATATGGATCTGTATAAAAAGTGTATTTTCCTTCTAATATTGGTTGCCTCCTGCTTTGAACACTAGTCTTTTACCTCCTTGGTTAATGTGATTTCTAGGTACTTGATACTTTTGGACACAACTTTTTTTCTCTTTTGGCTGCTACTGGTGGTGCTCAAGGGCCACTCCTGGCTCTGTTCTCAGAAGCAATTACTGGCTGGGGTCAGGTTGTTTATTGCATACAGAAATGCAGGCAAGGAGACATGAGCAATAGCACAGTGGGTAGGGCATTTTCCTTGCATGCAGCCACCCTGGCTTTGATCCCCATCATCCCATATGTTCCCCCGAGCCCACTAGGAATAATCCCTGAATGCAGAGCCAGAAGTAAGCTCTGAGAACTGCTAGGTGTGGCCACCCTCAGCCCCTGCACCCCCACAAGAAAAGCAAAGCAAAGTAAAGAAATGCATCCAAATTTTTTAAGTGTGATTCTGTTTCTTTACTGTAGTGATTTATTTCTGAAAGATTTTTGGTGGCTACTTTAGGATCATCTATATCATATCATCTGCAAATAATAATGCTTAATGCCTTCTCCAGTTTGATTTTTTGACTATTTGTTGCGACTCATTCTATTTCTTTTTACATTGTATATGTATGTCTTAAATTGCATAACTCTATTACTGCTCTGTTTGGGGGGTTTCAGAGAGCAGAATCCCAAATCAGAATGGGAAAGCCCCTCAAGCATCCTAAGCCAACTTCTTCTTGTGTTCCGTCCATGTTTGGGGAACTCACTGTGTCCTGAACTAGCCATATCACTTCCTTATTTTATTTTTGTGGAGTAGTGGTTGGGGACCACAGTCAGTTGTACTCAGGAGTTACTCCTGGATCACTGTTTAGGGATCACTCCTGGCATTGCTTAGGGCACCATATGTGGTACCAGGGATTGAACCTCAATCAGCTGCTTACAAGGCAAGGTCCTGACAAGCCATACTCTCTCTTCAGCCCCCATTTTCTTTTCTTTTGTTGGGAGGACATCGCCTTGCAGAAAGCCCTGGTCCATATCCTTGAGCCATCCCCACCCAGGCCCACTTCTCCCCTGTGAATCCATTCATCACAACCTGGCTCCTTTTTAGGTGTAAAGCCTGCCTGGCTCCTTTTTCTGGTTCCTTTTTCTCAATCAATACTGAGCGAGGGTACTTGCACCCCCTTTTCTTACGTTGCCAGGAACTGAGCACAGGAACTCAGCCATCCTTAGTCCTTGAACCATGCCCCCTTTCCTTCTCTGTTCACCAGCAAATTAAAAAATTCAACAGGCACCAGGTAACCAAGTCAAGGTGGGGACTCCTGCTTGGGTACTGATGAGGCGCCATCAGGAGAGGTGGTGATGAGCTCCCTTTGGGCACACAGAGGGAAGACTTCATCAGCCTGATTCCGAGCATCTTGGACCTCTTAAGTGATACCAAAGAGAAGATTATTTTGCTGGCCATCGAGATTCTCCTGCATCTTGTCAAGAAGATGGATTTCACCACGCTGGCTGCCATGATGAGGACTCTGTTCTTCTTATTTCGAGATGTAAGACAACAGGAGAGGAAAGGTTTTCATAAGGGAAGAGGAGTTAGCACAGCAGCCGGTAGAAGTTGTATTGTGATAACTACTCTCTATTTGATAGAATACGTTTTACCTCCTGAGCCTTTCTTTCACAAGACATTCCAGGTAGTCCATGATGTTGGTAAGTTAATGAACCGCAGCGATAGTACAGCAGGTAGGTACTTGCCTTACAAGTGGCCAACCCGGGTCCTGCCCCTGGTATCCCATATTATCCACCGAACACCACCAGAAATAATTCATGAGTGCAGAGCCAAGAGTAACCCCTGAGCACTGCTAGGTATGACCCTCAAACAAAAAACAGTAAATAAAATTAAAAATACATGGAGTATTATAAAGTAAATGATGAGATTCTGAGATTGACTGACCCATGTTCAGTCCTCCACATAAACCAAGATGGTTTATGGAATAGGAATAGAAAAGGAATTTGTTAGAAGAAAATGACCATTATTTACAAGACTAATCGGGACTAGTCAAGAGGTTGGAATGTATATATGTTTCTGCCCCAAATCCCAAAAGTAAAGAGAAACATGGAACACAGGTATACATTCCTTGGGAGAATCAAATAGGCAAAGGCTGAAGGTTTGATTTTGAGCCAAACGGCTTGTGTGGGTGACCAGTACGAGTACCAGGCACTATGACCCCACTGCAGACGAGGAAGGAGCATGGGGTCACAGTGCCCATTCCTCATCTGTAGTGAGAGAACCAGGAGCCACAGGGTTGTGGGGCTTAGGTTTGGTTTCCTGCCCTCAGCACCCCCAGACAGGGGAGGCCCTCCTAGGGCTTCTGGAAATTGAACGTGGACCTCTTCATAAATGGCTCCCCTTTGCTTCCCTTTTAGGTGAGATCTGATGTTCGTCTTTTCTCCATGACCCTCTACGAAGCCTCCATAAAGTCTGTGAAATGCTCAGAGAAGAAGGGTATAGAGAACCAAGTCCTGAGCAGTTTGGTCCCACTACTTCTCTACACACAGGATGAAAATAATGCAGTAGCTGAGGTAATGTCTATTGCTCACTTGTTCAAGCCCTCAATAACCTCCAGAGCAAAATCTGCTGATAAGCATTCACTGAGTACAGGGGCTTTGTGGGGTGTTTTGCTTTGTTTTGTTTTGTTTGGGCCACAGCTGGTGGTGCTCAGGGCTTACTCTTGGCTCTGAGCTCAGGAATCACTCCTGGCAGTGTATATGGGATGCCAGGGATCGAACCCAGGTCAGCCGCATGCAAGGCAAGCACTCTGCCCACTGTACTGTCGCCTCAGCCCAAGTGCAGGGAGGTTGTGACCCCAGCTTTAGTCCCCATTTCCTTCAGCTTGAGTATGACTTATTTTAAGTGAATTACATGAAGTATTGTGCGCCACTTTGCTGTACAGTAAATCACTGTCCTTTGTGGGTACGAACAATGTATTGCCTTTCTGAAACTTTGCCCCAGTACTCAGCCTTAGCACCAAGCTCTGGATCCAGTGCCCCAGACAGGACTTTACTGATGACGGTGAAGTTCTTCTATTTTTCCTTTCTGAAGAACTGCTTCATGGCCTTGAGACAGTCTTCTTTGGAGGTGTGAATGAGAGAAAGTACTTTTTCTGACATTTGAAGAAGACTTTACATTGGCTGAACCTCCTGGAGGTTCTACCATAAGAATTGTGGGTAGGGGGACTGGAGCGATAGTACACAGGGCACTTGCCTTGTAAGCGGCCAACCCAGGTTCGATCCTCAACTGATCGGCTGACCCAGGTTCAATCCTCAATGTCCCATGTAGTCCCCTGAGCACTGCCAGAAATAATTCCTGAGTGCACAGCCCAGGAGTGACCCATAAAAGAAAGAAAGAAAGAAAGAAAGAAAGAAAGAAAGAAAGAAAGAAAGAAAGGAAGGAAGGAAGGAAGGAAGGAAAAGAAAGAAGAAAAGAAAAAGAGGAAGAAAAGAAAAAGAGGAAGAAAAGAAAAAGAGGAAGAAGATAGAATTGTGAGTGACGGGCCAGAGAAATAGTACAGGGTTAAGGCACATGCCTTGCACAATGGCCTATCCCAGTTTGATCCTTACATGGTTTCCCAGACACTATCAGGCATGACCCCTGAGCACAGAGCCAGGAGCACAGAGCCAACATCCAAACCCTACAGGATGTTGTCATCTCTAATACTCTCCCACACATCAGAATCCCATCCATTCCGAGGCACTAACCATGACCAAACCATCACTTAAAACAAACCATAGATAAATAAATAAATAAATAAATATTAAAAAAAAAAACAGAGAGGTAAGTTTAAGCCACAAGGACTTGGAAAATGAATGCCAGTGTTCTCTGTAACCCTTCTCTTCCTTCTTATAGAAATAAAAGATCTGGTTGCAGATTCAGAAACAGGATTTGGACTAAGGTGGGGTCTTGTACAGTGTCCTTATAACCATAAAACTATTTTAGACCCTAATAAAGCACAGAGAGGAGAGTTTTCAAAGTAAGGGCTGGGGAGACTGCCATAGTGGGGAAGCGGTTATAGGTACATAAAGATATGTACCTTAGCTGGTACCCTGCCTTAGCTGGTTCTTACCCTTGAGGCAAAGCTGAGAGCACTAAGGCTCTGGGCTCATTCTTCTTCAAACTTTAACCATTTCCTAGCCACCTGTCCAAGATTCCTGAGAGGGGAGCATCAACAGAGAGGAGAGGGTGTAACATGAAACAGGTTAGAAAGCCCGGACCTGGAGAATATAATTAGCACCCATCATCTTCATCCACTCTGAGAAGTAGAGCAGAAATAAAGTGTGCCCTATTCCCAACCCACCCTAAAAACTAGCATCCCGAATTAAATTTTTATGATTTCTGTGAAGATATGATTTGTGGATTAAAACTTCATCTCTAAAACTCAGTAATTCTGGGGCTGGAGAAATAGGACCGTGGATAGGGCACTTGCCTTGCAAGTGACCAATTCTGGTTCCATCCTGGACATCCCATGTGGTCCCCAGAATACCACCAGGAGTAATTTCTGAGTGCAGAGCCAGGAGTAACCCCTGAATATCACCAAGTATAACCCCTAAAACAAAACAAAAATAAAATAAAACTTAGTAACTTCTTTTGGTTTCATTTAGTTTTTATTGACCTCATAAGAATATCCATGTTGTATAGTTCTGATTCTTTTTTCTTTTTAGTATTATGGAGGATTTCACCATGTAAATTTTCCATCATTTCTCAGCTTCTCCTATACCTGGATATTTATATTGTTTCCACTTTTCCGTGATTCTAGTGCTGCCATGTGCATTCTGGAACATATGTCCATGTGTCCATGTGTGAGTGTGGCTCCCCCCACAGTGCTTGAGGCCCGCTCCAGCTCTGTTCTTGGAGGTCATGCCAGAGAGCCCTGGAGGATACATGGCACCAGGCCTGGCACCCAGGCCTGGCACCCAGGCCTCCCACATGAACATATGAGCTATTTCCTTGACCCCTATCAAAGATATTTTAATAGCCCAAATATTAATTTAGGCTGGGACAAAATGCTTTCCTGTTTGGGTGGGGGATGATTTTTGGGCCACATGCTAAGGCGATCCTGGCTCTGCTCTCAGGGATCACTCCTGGCAAGATCAGGGGACATGAAGAGTGCTGGGATTGAACCCAGATCATCTGCATGCAAGGCAAGTGCCCTACCTGCTGTACGACATGTCTCTCCAGCCCCAGAACATTCTTTCTTGGAGATTCCTCCAAGGTATTGTATGATTCTTGAGAGGCACTCTGACAGTGATAAAGAGAAAAGAGTCTTAGCTGGTAAATTTTTCACAGGAAGGGATCAGTACTCAAGAATTCATATCAAGGCTGGAGCGATAGTACAGCAGGTAGGGCATTTGCCTTGCATGTGGCCGACCCAGGTTTGATTCCCAGCATCCCATATGGTCCCCTGAACACTGCCAGGAGTAATTCCTGAGTCAGAGTCCTGTGCATCGCCAGGTGTGACCCAAAAAACACAAGAGAATCCATAAGGATTTTAATAAAAGACACTGCATTTCCAGGTTGAAGTGATAGTACAACAGGTAGGGCACTTGACTTGCACACTGCTGCCCCAGTTCAATCCCCAGCATCCCATATGGGCCCCCAAACACCTCCAGGAGAGATTCCTGAGTTCAGAGCCAGGTAAAACCCCTGAGTATGTCTCGGTGTGGTCCCCCAAAAAAACAAATCAATCAATCGATGAACAAATAAATAATAGTGTACTTCCCCGAGTGGCAGAGAAATGATGTATAAGTACCAAGGGAAGTAGTAACTCTCTCTAAAGCCATGGTTCATGGAGCTCCTGCCCAAACCACTGAGCACGCCTAGCCCTGGTGGTTTCTACGTCTTCCCCAGAATCCTCTAAGTTTATGGTGACTTTAGGAACTCTGTGGGGGAAGTTGAAGGAGGCCGAGACTGTGGTTCATTTCCTTCTGTTCCCTCACTTCAGACAAGTAATTAAAAAAGAAATGTTTTTTCAGTTTAGGCACCATGATTTACAATATTGATAATGACGGTTTCATCCATAACACATCCCAGCCCCACACCTTCCACCATGGTCAGCTTTCCTCTTCCGTGTCCCAGTGTCCCTACCCCCTCCTATCCCCCCATCCCTCCTACAGTGATCCGCTTCCTACCAAGGACCAGTTCTGTTTCTGTTGCCTTTGAGCATTTGTTTCTTTACTATGCTGGTATACATTCCACCTCTGAGGAAGACCATTCTGTATCTGTCCCTCTCCTTCTCACTGATGTCACCCAGAATGACCCTCTCCAGATCTACCCATGTATCAGCACACTGCATGAGAGCCAGGTAATTCTGACTTCACCTTCTTTTCATACTGGACTTCCGTGTCTGTTTTACTGTTTTACCCCAGCAGACAAAAATGTCTGGAAAGGCTGGTTTTGTGAAATAGGTCTGTGCTCTGCTTCACAGGAGAGCAGGCATCTGCTGACTGTATGTGCTCAGTTTCTGAAGTGGAGGTTGCCCAAAGAAGTGTACAGAAAAGATCCCTGGTACGCCAGGTCCGGTGAAGTTGAAACCATCTCCAAATTCCTTGTGAGCAATATAACTTTATTACTGATTCTAATTTGCTGACATACCCCACTGACCAGGGATAGTTGTTTTTTTTTAAATTTTTATTAGCGAAACACCATGAGGTACAGTTGTAGACTTACAAATTTTTGTGCTTGGGTTTCAGTTATACAATGATCAAGTACCCATCCCTCCACCAGTGCCCATTCTCCACCACCACTAATCCCAGTATCCCTCCCACCCTCCATCCCCCCCCCATCAGGGATAGTTTTTATTTTTGTTTTCCTTTTAGTTTGGGGCCATGCCCTGCAGCTCTTGGAGAGCCATGTAGTGCCAGAGATGGGCCCCAAGCTTCCAGTGAGCAAAGCATACACTCAGCCCTTGGAGTTATCACTGCAACCCTCAGTTTTCTGTTTGGTTGGCTTTTGGTTTGGGGGCCACACCACACAGTGCTCAGGGGATCCTCCTGGGAGTGTTGGAAGATTTTTATGTGATATGGGATTAGAACCAGGACAGGCAAGACAAAAATGTGCCCCCTGAAAAATCTTCCCAGCCCACCACCACAGTTTTTCAATGGAGGAGCCTGAGGTAAATGTTCCTAGTCCTTTTCACATCAGCAGTTATTTATAAACTGTTTTGAACTGTGAAGCTTTTTATTTTAGTTTTAATTTTTGAATCCCCACCCTGCTGTGCTCAGGGATCATTCTTGGCTCTGAGCCCAGGGATTACTTTTGTCTGCGAGCTAAGGGATCACTCTTGGGGGGCTCGGGGGACTATAGGGGGTTCCAGGGATCAAACTCAGGTTGACTGAGTGCAAGACAAGCACTTTACCTAGTATACTATCACTCTGGACCTGAGCTGTGAAGTTTTTCACCAAACACACACACACACGCATACACACATGACTCTAGTTCTTGGATCATCACTAACTTGGGTCAGAGACTACATGACTAGGCTGGTGATCAGAAAAACTCAAGGTAGAAATGACAGGTACCCAGAAAACAGTCCATGCTGAGCACAGGTCTAGACTGGAGAGAAAGAACTGTTGCATAATGAATAGATGAGAGTTGTCAATAGAGATTGTAGATAGAGATTTGAGGACAGAGATGATTTAGACACAGACATGAAGACTGACTGAGATAGGAATTAAAGGCACAATATGTAGGTTGGGGGTGTGAGAGGGTACTCCAAGGGATGAACTTGTCTAAGGGTCAGTTGTGGCCTTATCTTCATTGAGCAACTGGTTATTTCAAGAATTAGTTTCTGTCTGTATATCTGACATCATCCCTGACTCTGGAAACCATGATAAAAGCTGATAAAAATAGTGATGCTGAATTCACTCATTTTTATTCTTCCTTTACCCCAATTAGGGAAAAAAATGCGAGGGGAAAGTTAACATCCTTACCCAAATGTTGATATACTCCAAGAATGCCAAGCTTCCCATCAAAAGAGCTGCAGTCTTGTTTATAGGTACAAAGAAAATTCTTTCCATTTCTGTAGTCACTTTTATCTACTTTTGTAAATAGTGTTGCTGAATAACCCCATTCTTTGTGATAATGGCCCTGAAAATACTTCAGAGAAAGAAAATATTAATGTGTAGGTAAACTGTCACAAATTTCAAGTCTCTTTTGGAGAATAAGTCCAATTATCATCTACACACCAATTCTATTGGTTGCTTAGAACCAAACCAGACCACAGACTGACTGACTTTATCCTGCTTTTAGGGCTGTTTTCAAAGTGCATGGATCCCAGGGGACTCAAGACAGAGGATATTGACTGGATAGAGTATGGTGAGTAATAATACTGCTGATGCCCCAGATTTGGGAAAATATCAGAGATAGGAACTCAGGCCATGTGGGTGGAGAGCAGAGACTCATGGATCCAACATAATGCAGTAGGGGCTGGAGTGATAGCACAACAGGTAGGGCGTTTGTCTTGCACGCGGCCAATTCCCAGCATCCCCTATGGTCTCCCGAGCACCACCATGAGTAATTTTTGAGTGCATCATCAGGTGTGACCCAAAAAGCAAAAAAAAAAAAAAAAAAAAAAAAAAAAACCATAATGCAATAGTATAAAGCCACTTTCTGCAAGACTTAGCCTGGATGGCAATCTCATCCCAGTCCAATTCCCCTCTTAGGAAAAAAGGTGACCCATTTTTCTGAAAATCAGCTTTAATGAATTTCATCTCGGAATAATACCTGAGCTCAGTCAGAAAATAAGGCATTTCTTGGGAACACCATCTTGTTTAATCACGTTGGCTTCTCCCAAGTGTCACAGAGTTTAATGTAGCACTGTTTCTAAAAGTGGTTGTTCTGGAAGGTAGTAGAACTTGATAACAAGTTTATAATTTTATAAGGTGAGCATCATGCAAATAGCATTCTGACCTGCCACTAAGTGGATATTTTCTCTACTTGCACTGCTTTTGAGTATGTAGCACTCAAAGAATTATTTCCATGTAAGAACTAATTCTATGGGCTGGAGAGTGAACTCATCAGGCCAGAGCACTGCTTTGCATGCAGGAGGCCTGAGTTTGATAGTTGTGATGGCTACTTTTCTGGATATAACTCCTGAAGCACCCCCTGGTGAGACTCAAAAAAAAAAACCAAAAAAATACAAATGAACCAACCCAGCAATTACAAAAAGCCATGAAATGCTGGATCAGATCCCTGATACTTTTAAGAATCAAATTAAAAACTAAACAATTCAATTAAAATAAAAATATAGAGTTAGTAAAAGTAGCTGGTAATAAAAGCTTATTTTGTACATCTTTTTTTTTGGTTTGAAGGTCACACCTGGTAGTGCTCAAGGCTTATTCCTGCCTTTGCACTGAAGGACCGTCTTAAGCAAGGCCTTAATCTTTGTCCTACTTCTCCAGCCCCTATCTCCTTTGCATCTTTTGTAAAGTACTACTTTAAATCATCCATATTTTTAAAATCACACACACACACACACACACACACACACACCTGCAAATAAAAGTTGCTTTTGGGGCTGAAGCGATAGCACAGCTGGTAGAGCATTTGCCTTGCATGAGGCCGACCCAGGTTCGATTCCAAGCATCCCATGTGGTCCCCTGAGTACCGCCAGGAGTTAATTCCTGAGTTCATGAGCCAGGAATAAGCCCTGTGCATTGCTGGGGAAAAAAAGAAAAAGAAAAAGTTGCTTTCGAGTCTTTCTAGCAGGAATTTTCTTTAACTTAGATGTTCCTCTTAGTAACCTATTATCCACTACTCCTCACACTCTTCCTAGAATATAAATCCCCACTTGATCTTGGAGGATTCAGAGTTGAGTATCAACCCCCCTACCCCAAAATCCAAATCAAACCAAACCAATCACAGTATATTCCTTTGAATAAAACAGACCAAGCCAAAAAGTGAAGATTAATATTGGCCCATGTTCTCCCTTGAACCTGCATATCTCACTTGCTTGTCTCTGTTGCTTGCTTTTTCCACTCTGGAGAAGCCCAGCACCACATGTACTTCCTTTTTTCCTGTCCCTTCACATCAGTAAAAACTACTTTGTTTCAGGGGCTGGAACAATAGTACAGTGGGTGGGTTATTTGCCTGGCAAAAGTTGTCCTGGGTTCAATCCCCAGCACTTTATATAGTCCCCCTTAGCCCACAGGAGTAAACCCTGAGCACAGCTGGGTGTGGCCCCAAAACAAAAAATGAAACAAGTCAAGTACATTCTCAAAAGAAAAGTGGCAAATAATCATAATAGCAAATAGGAACAACTAATAAATAGATGAAAATCTCACTATTGTTAGTAATCAAATGTTTAAAAAATCAACAAAACAATGAGATACAATAACTTTTTTCCACCAAAATGGCAAAAATAACTAATAGTCAGCACTGATGTATTAAAGAAAAATTGGCAGTTACATATTATGCTGATAGAAAATTAACTTGACAGAATTTTCTTAGGGAATCGTGACAGTTTGCATCAAAACCCTCTAAGCAAACATATACTTTAACTTACCCATCTTCGAGGAATTTAACCTATGAGAATAGAAATATTTTGGAATTAAGGAGATGACTCAAAGGTCTGGAGCACATGCTTTGCATGTAGGAGCCCCCAGTTAGAACCATAATCCCTCTGTAAGGGGTCCCAAGCACTGCCAGGAGTACCCCCAAAGCAAAAAGAAATATAGGAATATTTCTGCAGCATTTAAACTAGCAAAAATGGAAAGTACCCAAGATCAGAAATAATCGTAAATTAAATTATACCCTCTCCTAACTGAAGACTTGTAAATGGTCATGAAAAATAGCTCAGAAAAAAAAAGTGGAGACTTGGATAAGATGTGATAGCAGAGAGATAGTAAAAGGGTCAGGCATTTGCCTTGCATGCAACTGGCCCCACTCCAGTCCTAAGTATCACCATGTGATACCCCTGAGCACAGAGCCAGGAGTATCCCCGGAGCATCACTGGGTGTTGCCAAAACTAACCCTTCAAAACAAAAATAAAAGCAAACAATATTATTAAATAAAACAAAAAATATATAATACATTTAATGTAATTTCACTTTGATAATAATAAAAGCATAATGGCAGAAATAAATGTATAGAAAAAGACCGGAAATATACCAGTGGTTTTCTCTGATAGTAGGAGAACAGTAAATTTTTCTTCCAGTGCTTATAGATAGTTCTACTATTTACACAAGGAATGTCTGTTAATTTTGTATAGGCATAAGAAATAAAACTTTAATGGCAGTAGGATTTAATTTATCTGACCAGGCTACAATACTTTAAGTAGACGACTTAACCACAATTACAGTAAAGGAGCAAAACCTCTAGTAACTCAGAAAACAGGTTTGTAGGCAAAACTTGGAATTGTTCTCCAAATCCATAAACTTTTAGACAAGAGGCTTGGAAAAAGAGAGTGCGTCCCCTGTTGACTCTAGTGTGTTTGCCATTTGCTGCTTGGGCCAGTGAGCATTTCCAGAGATCTTCACCCCCTGCCACCATTTTTTGTTTGTTTGTTTGTTTGCCACACAGAACTTCAAGAACTGCTGACTCACCCTGAGCCCTCTCTGTGCATCATTGCCTCCCAGGCTCTGCTCCAATTCCAGGAAGCAAAGGATAAATCATCTCTAGATCTCCCAAGGAGAAATCGTAGGTGGAGGAAGCTCCTGGTCTGTTTCCCCTAGTGCAAGGCAAGTAACAGCAGCATTAGCTGACAAGCCAGTCCTCCATCCCCTGGGGTCATGTGTCTGCAGAGCCCAGCTGTAGGTAGACAGTGTGCCCTGTGTAGTTAGCTGTAGGTCGACGGTGTGCCCTGTGTAGTTAGGCTGATGATGGTCATCTCTTTCCTGAAAACATAGACATTTTTTTCCTTGTCTTTATTTCCAAAAATAGTACAGCCTAACAACTATTTACATAACATTCTTTTTTTAAACATAACATTCTTGTTGAATTAGGTATTATAAGTTATCTAGAGATCATTTAAAGTTGATGAGAGGATGTGGGGCTAGAGAGATAGTACTGCGGGTAAGATGCTTACCTTGCTATGTGGTTGACCCAGGTTCAATGCCTGGCATCACATGTGGTCCCCAGAGCACTGCCAGGAATGATTCCTGAGTGCAGAGCCAGGAGTAACCCTAGTATTACCTGGTGTAGCCCCCAAATAAAGCAAAAACAAAAAATGAAAAATTAAGTTTATGGAAGGATGTGCATAGCTTTCATGCAAATACTGCACCTTGTCTAAGGAAGTTGCATATCTTAGGGGTTCATAGAACTTGGGAAGTTCCTAGGGGTCCTGGAAGTAGTCACTCATCAGGTTCTACACCATATTTCTAGTACTCATTTCTCTTTAACTAGAAATTTTGTGTTTTTCTACTATTTGCCTTCAACTCTCCTTATCCTCCACCTCTATAATCAAAGTCTGACTTCTTTTCTCTCTGAGGTCAGTTTTTGTTTTGGATTCCACATACGCAGTATTTGTTTCAAGTAACACTGTCTAGAGTTTATCTTAGTTTAGTTTAGTTTTGTTTTCAGTTAAGAATTCAGATCTACATTGTATAACTGAAACCCAAGCACAAAAACTTATAAGTCTATAACTGTACCTCATGGTATTTCACTAATAAAAAAAAATTCAGATCTAGGGGCTGGAGAGATAGCACAGTAGGTAGGGCGTTTGCCTTGCATGCAGCCAACCCGGGTTCGATTCCCAGCATCCTATATGGTCCCCTGAGCACCGCCAGGAGTAACTCCTGAGTGCAGAGCCAGGAGTAACCCCTGTGCATCTCCAGGTGTGACCCAAAAAGAAAAAAAAAGAATTTAGATCTAGAGCATGGATCACTGTCCCTTAGCAATATTTTTGCATCTTTAGTTTGATCTCACGAACTCTCCGTGTCATGGAGACCTCCAGATTTAGAGTGTAATTCAAGTCTTCAATGACTTGAAGGAGAGATAGCTAAATGGGCTGATTGCCTACAATGCAGTTTTGCATGTAGGAAGCCCGTGTTTCCTACCTGCCCAAGCACCTCCATCAGTGACCCCAAGCACAGAGCTTCCAGGAGTAGCCTACAAGTGCTTCTGGATGTAGCCCCAAATTCAAATAAATAAGTAGGTTCAGTGACATAAAAGAGGTTGAATTATTCATTGATATTTATTCATGTTTACACTAGCACCTTCCTCTTCAGACAGACCCCCCTACTCCCCACCCCTGCGTATTACTACCAAAAGGCAGTTAGCCAGGCAGTTAGCACAATAATCCTCATGTACTTATATTTCTGCTTTCTTGCATTAAAATTCACAGAGAGAAGCATCCCTTAAGAGACACAGGACTGCTC